GGAATAAAACTGCTAGGCAGTGCAATAGCAGGGGTTTATGTACTTAGATGACTGAAAGCCCTACAGAAAGCAGATGCATTTCTGTCCTACAAGTTTGACTCTGCAGCGCTGGGATTTTGTAGTTGAGGTGGTTATTGCTCTGCTGTTAAATACATTTCCATGTTGTAGCTACTATTTCTATCATCAGTGAGGGTGTATGGAAGAAAATAGCCCTCACCCATCTTGTCTAGAGGGATGGGGCAAGAGTTAAGTGGCTCTGTGCTCCCACCAGAAATGTACTGACTTGCAAATGACAATCAAGGCAAAGACTGGCAAAAAGGGCTGATGGGGTTATTTGCCCTCCTGTCCCTGGACAACTGGGAGGCAGGAGGTGGCCTCTGACTCCTGGTTGCTGTTTCCTCCTTTACTCCTGACGAAATACTGTTGTGCAGTGCCTGCGGGAGGATTACAGTCCTGCCGACAACCAATACGAAGCTATAGGGGGATCATAAGTAGTGCTGCAATCAGGATGTTGAACAACTTCTGAAACCATTATAAAAATAGAAACGTTAATCTGTGTCACCTGATTGCTTAGGCCAGTTTGTTTCTCCTTTCCCCCCTTGTCCTTTCATGCTTCTTTTTCTTTGGACAATATGGGGTACTTGTGCATGGGAGATGCAGAACAGCAGAGGAGTGAGTGGATGCTGTACACTGTAATCCCTGTATGAGAATTATGATTTGGGCTGTTTTGTTTCCTTGTGAATGCTTTCGAGCTATGCTGGGAGAAGGACTAGTCCGAAATGGAATTTTTCCATGGACAGTTTCTATAACAATGAAAGAAACATTATCTGGCAATACTTTCAAACTGACAGGTTTTCACATCAAAACCTCCCAAATGAGAAAACCAACTGCTTGAAACAGCAAAACATTGCTTTCCTCTGCAGTTTTGGGTTTCTTTTACTGAAATTCATTTTCTCATGTTTGTCCACACTCCCTCTCAAATACCTTTGAGGGAAGCATATGCTTTTAAGAATTTTTGTTATGAAATCCATTTTTCCATTTAAAAACTAAGTTGAGATGGGGAAATCTTTCTCCACCCAAGTATAAACAGTTGGCCAGATTTATTTATCTGCAGTGACAAGGTACTCACTTGATTGGGTCCAGTCTGTGTGCATTCTGCATTTCTGTCACACCCACCGTTGCTTTCCAGACAAGGGTTGATTTCTTTATAAAACAGAAACAGTATAATAAAAATAGTGACTTGTGAAAACCTAAACCAGGAGAATTTTAAGTAAAGCATCCCAGGAATGCAGATTCATGACAGCTGTGAATCAATGAAACTCGTTCTGTCATTTGCTTAATACCTCAGTCTAGGTCTTGTGGTTGTCTTGGTGAAAGTTAAAACTGCCATCGGTATTTCTAAAACTATGCATAGAGAGGTATGGTACAGCAGTGTCTAAAAGTCTTTAAGTTTGCAATGGTCAGAGGAGTAAGAGTGTATCAAGATGCTGAAGATGGGCATATCCTTGTTGAGAGGTAGATCTTTTTTAACAAGCTTTGGTGTCACAGCACACTGCTGTAGTTGTGTGGTTTGCCAAGTAGCGTCAAACATGTGGCAGGTAGAAACGCCTTTGGCATCAGGAGCTATAGTATCAGGAAACTGCACTTCTGTGTCATAGTGGAAGAAGGATCTTCCATCTACAGGAAAACTCACTCCTGTAATTTTCCTCTGTGTGATATATGAGACATTGCTAATGCTTACCAATGCAGACTATTCCATCTCCTGTGTACCCAGCATTGCAGACGCATGCTCTATTGCCAGGCGTTGTTCTTCTGCACTCTGCCTTGTCAGAACAGCCACCGTTGCTGGTCTTGCAAGCATCAATAGCTGAACAGTGACAACAACACAGATTAAACCAATGTACTTAAACAGCTTTTTGCTTTTCAGGTTAAGCTGTCACTCTGTTTTAAAGGGATTGGCTAACATTTTCTGAACACAGAATCTTTCTGATTTAAGAGGCCATAGGCTTCATTAGTGCCAGATATTTAATACATCTTACTGATTACAAGAGGGAAAGCTGAGAAGACGCTTCTAGTCTGGAAGATAAGAATTCATCCAGGACTGACTTTCAGTAACTTTCCATCTTCTGATTCTGCCTGTTCCAACCAAACATCAAGAAAGGGACCTTCATGTTCTTCTCTAGATTAAATGGCCATTTGAAGCTTTCCCTTAGCCGGCCTTTTTCTGCACAGATCGTGCCTTCTCTTGCAGGAGGTCTAGAGTGTAATACCACCCAGCCCTCCTGTGACAAACAGTTCTGCTTGTTATTCAGATGGATACTTGTGCCTTTTCTCCAAATCTGGGTGAGTCAGAGGCTCGCAAATAGAGTTTACTTGGGTTACCCTGAGAGCAGGGAGGGAGCCTTTTCTGATCCTCAATTAAATCAGCTCAAACATTGTTTTAGTTTTTGCCTTAAATGACTTCAAATCATTGTTTCAGCAACTGTAACAGCCAGACGGGGGAGATGACTTGCCCTGTAGCTGGTTTTGCCCAGGAATCCTGTATAAGGGAATAAGGGTGAGTGCAGAGCCACTATGGGTGACCTGTGTCACCCAGCTCTTCCTGCACATGGGGAATTTCCCACCAGTAAATTACAATGGATTTGATTGATTTGTGCCACAAGTGAAAATGAAAGCAGCCAGAGTAAGAGTGCTAAAATCTTGGATTAGGACCCTGCCAGCCATTGTGAGTGGACAAATATGCTTCTGTTCCCAAAAGCATTAGTATTTTAATCAGTTAAGGATTAAGTAAAACAACTGTAAAATTAATTACAATCGTGTAGCTGGAAGCAGTGTATTTCATAAGTCTGGGTATCCCAGACTCTTGGAGAGACACTTAGGATAAGCTGCTATTGCCCCCTTTCTAAGGGTCTTTCAGATCTCTCTGATCTAAATAAGTTGATTTTACCACCCTGGAAACCTGTGCAAGTTCAAAAAGCTGAGGAAACGGTAGAGCTATCCAGCTTCCAATAGCTGGAAGTGCTATTGTACCCGGAACTGGCCTCTCTTTGCTGGGCTTTGTTGGGAAAAAGAGCAAAAGTCATAATCCAGGTTTCATTACTCTGCAAACAGTGGGGCCTGGGCTTGACACGGCGTGTTCCCTTTTCTCTGGTATCCCTTAGCACAGTGCCTTGCAGCTTGGAGATTTTGAGCCCTTTGTTTGCTATGAATCCACAACTGTTGGGCTCTTACTCATTTTGAGTGAACTGGCAGCAATTCCTGTTCTTTAACTGGTGCATAGGGAAGTGCTCATCTCTCACCAGCTCCACCATGACCACAGAGTGCTTCAAACATTGTTGTTTGGTTTTTGTTGGTTTTTTTTTTTTCAAGAGGGGAGAAACAAAGTCCACTTGCCTGTGCAGAACGTCCCGTTCCCCTCAAACCCAGCTGCACACTTGCAATAGGCAGTGCCATTTGATAGGAGAAGGCAGCTAAAGAAGTAAAAGGAGGGAGACGACATTTAAAAAAACCTCAAACAAATGCAAGAAAAAGAAGTAGTCAGGTCTTCTGTGCAGACCTTGTTTTTGTGCGTTGTTCCGAAGATAATGTCACATAGAAATAATGAGGCATTTAACCATACATGTTCTATTTACAACCGTAAAAGTGAACTTAGTTGGACCAAGCATTCCAAATGCATATTGGATGTATTAAAAGTGCTTGCTTTGATCATTAAGTGTCCTGTTTTCTCATGCAGGACTCCTCAAGCTACATGACTGCTCACTCAAAAACTGTGCAGATTCTTGTTTGTGTCCACACAATTTGTTGAGGGATGCAGCAGAACTGATGTGCAGGAGTGGGAGACAGCTGTCTGAGTCCTCTGGGCTCAAGTTTGTTGGTTTTTTTTTTTTGAACAGTTTGGCTTTCTGTATGCAAGCATGGTTTTACTGTCCCATGAGCCCTGTATAATACAGGGATTGCTCCTTGCTGTCACCCAGGGACAATGTCACAACACAGCCAGCACAGTCCTGTCCTTCTCCCACCCACTCCTGCCATGCCTGTACTTATCCTTGTACCTACAGAGGTAGAGGAGTGGATGAATAAGGCTCAAGAGAAGAACAATCTGCTGCTTCTGTTAGAAACAGTCTTGATGCTAGAATGTGTGGGATCCTGCTCAGCAAATTTGAGAGCGGAGTTTTGCCAAAAAGGCATGGTCAAACACCACTGCTGTGAAGTGCGGTTCACAAACACACAGGGCAGAGAATGATCTACATCTGGGAAAAAGGAGGTTTGCCCCTCTGGTTTCTCTGCTCCTACAGAAGCACTGTGGCTGAAAACGAGGAGTCTTCCTAGCTACCTTTCCTTGTTTTTTAAATCTTGCTGTTTGGTCAATGATGGGGGAGCGGGTGCACTTCAATGGGAGTGACTTGCTCTTTTGGAAACTAGTTCATGTCTCAGTATTGGTGCTGGGACTGCTGAGACCATTTTTTTCTTTTTAATATTTCAATGTGATGAGGAGACCTGTTTCTTGTCAAATGCAGCTCTCTGGTGAAGCCCTTAATGTCTATGGCATTCCTCAGTTATGTGTGTGGTGGTGGTTGGGGCAAATAGGAGCAGCAGACAAAGCCCACCTCAGAAACCCACCTTTGAGATCAGTCTTGCCCTGGCTTCCTGTTCTCTTTAGTGCTGCAGGCTCCATTTCTTCGTACACTGCATGGTAGGATGTCTTGCCCCCCCCCCCCCCCCCCTTTTTTTCTTTCTTTCTTTTTTTTTTCCTGTCCCCACAAAACCCCATTTGTTCCCCCTTTTAACATACACATTTTGAACTTTTTGGCCTCATCACTGAAAATAGTAAATTAACACTGCTCCTCATCTGTGTGGCAGAAAACATCAGTGTTATCAATGCTGCCGAGAAGTCTTCATAAAGAGTAAGATGGCCTATGCTTTTTGCTGTGCAAGAGATCCCCTTTTTCTCCCCTCTCCTCCAAATAAGTGGATTTCATACATACTTAGCACTGGTATGGCATGAGGCGTTACATGCATCGTCTTTGATTTCTGCAAGAGGAAAACAAAAATAATGAAATGGGAATCAGAACGTTCTGGGTCAACATCCTTCTAGTTTCCCAGTCTTTTGTTCCCACCATGCAGAGATGGCATCTGAGTTCTGCACCAGATGACTGCACACTCAGTCTGTATAAAGACTCCATCTTTATAGGTCAGTGTGTACCACTTAAATTCAGTTGTGAGGAAGAGGCATGTCAACATATTGCCAGGAAAGCTTTTCACCTGTTGTCATTTATCTGTATTTAGCCTGGTGAGTTTTGCACATTACCTGTTTAATTGCATAAGTGCAGATTTTACAAAGAACCAAAATTTGCTTAGATAGAGCAACTCTAACTACAAAGTTAATTTCATTTCCATTTTTTCCCTGAGCAAATTTAAAACTCATATTAAATGCTATTATTAATGTGCTTGTGCCATTTTTTCATTTTACATTATTGTGTGTAGAGTTCTGACATAGTTATTTAATACATCTTATGTCTTGTGAAAATATAGTTTTATCGGCTATAGGAGCTGTATTAAACCAACACAAAATTATTTCTTTGCTAATTAATTTTTATTGTATTAACAGGATCATAATTTAATATCCAGTGTTGTATAGCTAAATCACTGTATTGAAGCACTTGAGAAGCTTTTGATCTGAGGATCAAAATGTGCTAGGTAACTCTGCTCTGTGAAATGCATAATCTTAAATAATGGGATATTCTTCTGGGACAGATGCAAGATTGACATGGGTAGAGAATTAGCTAAGAAGGGCATTTAAGTCTCACAAGTAGTATCTCATCTGGCTCTCTTAGGATGATAATCAATTGTCATAGCACAGGAGTGTCAACCATATTTCACTGCATGTAGGAAGCTGCTGGGTATCTGGTAGTGCACGGGAATCTGATCACGGCTGTAGTTCTGACATTTCCTGAAATGCTCACTTCTTGCCCCAGGGGAAAAAAAAAAAAAGGATAGCACACTTACCGGTCTCGCACGTCACCCCTCTCCAGCCAGCATCACATTCACAGGAGCCATCCCCATCGATCCCACTGCTGCATTTCCCATGGACACAAGCACACACTATGGGAAGAGACGGGAAGAAACGCCTGGGCAGGGCGTGTGTGCAGCAAGGCAGCGAGGTGAAGGAGGAGCAGGGGGGATGGCCCAGGTGTCTTCTGCTGGTGGCACCTTCTGCTCTAGGCTATTTCAAGAAATGGTTTGACTTGTGCCTATTGGCTTCTACCGACAGAATAAATCTAAATTTGGAATATGCTTGTCTTTCCTTTACTCCCAACTACAGGGACTGAAACTATATTTTAATGGGAAAGCATTGACGAAAAAGCAGTGCTAAAGAGAATTATTCTTGCTGGGTGCTGTTCTAAGCCTGTAGTATGCCAGAGTAGGAGGTACTGTCTCCAAATGAGGGAGTAGAGAGAAAATACCATAATGGGGAAAGAAAAGGGGTTAACGATATTTTTAGGACTGGCCTATTACCCTGAAAGTGATGTATCTCTCCAGGATCTAGAATGGACATGGTCAGAAGATCTAAAGGGAAGGTTTTGACATCTGACAAGACTGGTGAAGGTGCCTGTGTGGTTTGGGGTTGCTCAGTACCTTGATCGCAGTTGCGGCCGTATTTGCCTTCAATGCAGCTTTCGCAGGCTGTACCGACAAAGCCCTCTCCGCACTCGCAGGTGCCTGTGCCGTTGATGCCATCCAGGCAGACGCCGTTTCCGAAGCAGGCGTTCCCTGCTTTCCCTGGGCAGGGCTGGCACTGCTGCCCGAAGAAACCCGCGCAGCACTCTCTCGTCTGGAAACCCAGAAATGCCGTGCTGAGGGCCAGGGTGACAAGCACGGCAGCAAGCAGGGGGCTACTGGGTATCGTCTCTTGGGACTGCTGCTGGGTGGAAGTGAACTGGAGATCTCGATTTTTAGCAGCATTTCAGCTCTGCTGGTCTCTGGCCACGCTTCTTAGTGCGCTGGGGCTCAGGCTGCCACCCGAAGTTCTTGGTGGGACCCAGGTGCCCTCTGCCACCCCGGGGAAACGTGGATGGGATTGCTAGGGACAAGCATGGGGTTATCCTGCCCAAACCTGTGCTCCCTCTGCACCTCACTGGCTCCAAGCCCTTTTTATGCTGCAGTTAGCAGCAGCCTTTACCCTTCCAATCTCTGCTGCATCCAGAGTAAAGGCCAATAAATACATTCAGGGACTGCCTTGGCATGCTGTGTGCGTTTAATGGGGATCATGAGGAGGGTGAAGTTTGGGGGTGGGGTTTCCTGGCTTTTACTGCAACAGAAATGGTGTACTCACAATGACAGTTTTAGCACACTTTGTCTGGCACCTGAGCTGGATGGTGTACGTTCTCATGTTGTTTTCTGAGAGGACACAGTATTTCTTCTCCCCTGCCTGAAAAAAATTGGAGAAATAGCTGTACTTCTGAGTAATACTGATCAGCTACTTTCAAATGTTTTAAAAAACAGGACATCAACTTTATGCATGCTGTGCACTGATTCACGCATTCATGATGAAAATGAAGGAAATACTTTTAGAAATAAAAACGCATTAGCTAAATGAATTTTTTTCTAGTGAACATGTGATCAATTTGACTCAGTGCCCTGTGGCATTTCAAAGATGTCTAATACTGCCTTTGCTCGGAATTGAACAGAAATTTTTTCTGAAGTTTGAAATTTTTTTTTTCTGACAAATTTCTCGTTCTTCCTAATTTTTCTTGGAAAGCTGAGTGCCAAAGTTCTGCAAAAACACCTGTTGAAATATTGTTGAAACAGTTGGGAAAGATCACTTGCTGAAAAGGACTTGTTGGTCTCATTGCACAGTTGTTAGGAGACTGAGATAAGGGTCTGTCCAGCTCTTCATTGTAAAGGAAATTTAGTGTTTTTGAGTTTTTCCCACAAGCACTTCAATTTGGCTTTACCAGCCAGTTATTTTAATGCGGTGGGTGGGGTGTGATCTGCTTTGGAATCCTACTACTGGCATAATTATTTAAAAAATAATAAAGGGAAATATGTTTATATAATCTCAACAGAGGGTCTTTCCCAGAGAAATTTAGATGCCAAGAAACTCTAGGTTGTACCATGGTTGACAGAGACCTGCTAAATATCTGCAGTCTCATGTGTTGGACCTGGGCATCCAAAGTCACTGTAGTCTCCAAGTCTCCTTGTGACCATAACTCTCAACATATTGCTGGGGACAGTTTGAGTTTGTCCTTCTGTGTATCTCTGATTTGAGGGCCTCAAAGTTGCTTCTGTAATTCGTCCTGTAGCAAGCACACTCCACAAAAACTCCCTCAGTTTTGCATAGGAGAGGTAACCTTTGCAGTTTGAGGAGTCTTTAGTTGTCCCAATACATACTAGAAATTGGTCTTTCAAGATAAAACTATTTTTAAGCTACACTTGAATCTGCTGCCTTGCTCTCAGGGTGGATTCAGTCTGCTGACTGTAAGCAATGTATGTAACAGGCTGAAGTAACAACAATAAATTTTGCTGAAACTGAGACAATGATATTAAAAACAGGATTGAATGCATCTATGATCAGTTTTGATTAAAAAAAAAAGGTGGCATTAATGATAAAATACTTACTATTTCTTTTGTTCCTGGGGGACAACTTGATGGGAGTGAACAAATACTGCACTTTTCCTTAAGCAACACAAATGGAAGGTAGTTAACAGACTGTACAGAGCTACAGACAGGTTATTTAATAGCCAATGTGTAATTTCCAGGCATATTTCTAAACCTAGCCCTCAGGGTGCATATTCAGGATAACCCTTTTGGTAAAGGTGGTAAGGGTAGCTGCACTGCTCAGCAAGGAACAATATCCCTACCAGCGGGTCTGTAGGGACATCCCATGGGAAGCCTTCTCCAAGGGGAAAGAAAAGGAAAGCTCTTTTGGTTATTTTTTTTTTCTCTCTTCTAAAGCAATGCTTCCCAAAGGCCTCCCCATCTAAAGCACAGTAAGAGGCAAATCCTGAGCTTGGACACAGTTTGCCTGTGGCACAAGGCCAAAGGCAGTTTGGAAATGGAAAACTCATACCATGTGTATGTCCCGTGCTATATGTGAGTGTGAACTATTTGCACGTGCAAGGTCAGTTTCTGCAAAATGCTTAGATACAGGTTGTACCTAGTACAGAATGTTTAACACTGTTCTTGTTTAGCTAACTATCCTTACTTTTAGCAAGGCTTAAATGAATGTTTGAGTATGTTGCTGCATTTGAACACAGCTGGGAAAATAAATTTCCATGGGGGAAAAAAGGACTATACGCAAAGGACCTGATAGAGGAAAGCCTTGAGTGAAATATACTTAAATATAGGACTGTACCCCAAGGGAAAGAATTAAGCTGCAAAAGTTCATGCCTGTTAAATTTGCTTTTACTGAAGCATAAGTCTCATTTTTTTCTTCCTTGTCTGGTTTGTTGCATGCTCTGTGAAAAGGGAGGTAAGCTGCCTGCTTGCTGTCCTATTTGACTCAGGAGAAAAGGCAAACCTTTCTCTGCCAGTTTGAGGAAATTGCATCCTATTCTTTAGAGGAATGTAAAGCAGTTTATATTTCATATGTAAAAGGAACACAAGAGGGAGAATGCTTTACTCAGAGGGTACGAGGCATTCACATGTATGTACTGTAATCTACACTTAGAATGAAAAGAAATTTTTTTCTCACCTGTTTACTTTATAAACAAGTGGTCTGGCAAAGAAGATGTATTGAAATTGTGTGTTGTTATTATTTTCTGAAGATTAAAGCTCAGAAATTGCTACTCTGATTGTATTTTATCTAGGCTGTCAACACACTACAGGATCAAAGCTGTCATAATAGATGCTAAAACTCTGGTGAGAATATTCTTTGTGGAAAATGCGGGCATTCCTTACTGGGACATAGTGTCATGTATTCTGCACATTTTAGCTGTGTTTGGCTATAGATTTCTTGGATGGGCCTTTAAACATCTGTATGAACAGAACCACTTACGATGATCACGGTATCATTGATGTCACATCTGTTCTTCTGGATTTCCAGGACCTTTCCCAATCCATGAATAATTCCTTTGTCTGTTGCAACATTTGTGTAGCTTATAGGCGCATCATTTATGAATAGCTGCAAAAGAAATGCAACCAGCTAGAAAGCAGCAGAGTTGTTTGGTAGCTATCTGGTAACTAGAGAAATAGCAGGTGAAAGAAGGAGCAGCGTACAAATCTCACTTCAGGAAAACTGATGAACATAGTAACTTCAAGCACTTGCTCATGTCCCACTTGCTGCATTTAACAGCTTCACTGGACTGGAGGGCATGAGATGACTTGCAGTCTGCTGAAGTTTCTTAGCAACAAGTTTTGGCAGAGCAGTTTTTTCCACCGTGGGGTGGAAAGGTAAAGGGTTTGAAGAGGGAGCCTAAAGCAAGCCTAGAGCTGGGTGTGCTGCCTGTGGGGGATGAGGGGCATCAGGGAAACCCTCCCAGCAGCTGCTCCTTCAAGGAGGACTTTCATCATCTCGCTGCTACCCCACACGCCCATCATGACCTCACCAGCAACAGCCCCATGAGCAGATGCTTTTCCAGGGCTCTGCAGTGGACAGAGCAAACAACAGGGCTGAAACTGCGTTGATGAGAAGCTTTCTGTCTTCTTTTGCCTATGCCCAGTGTGAGCTCTGGGACATAGGGGAAGGTGGACTGACTTCCCCTCATGGCTGTGCCACAGAGTTGGTTGTGTTACTTAATCTTGCTGTGCTTGATTTTCCCATGAGTGGTGTTGAAAGGCAACTCATATTTGTTGCCCAGTGCGTTGCGCTCTTAGGATTGAAAGTGAAGTAAATCCACAGAAAACAGAATTAATGTTTTATGATTGAAGGCATGTTTCTAATAGCTCTTGGAAGTCAGATTAATAACTGCTTTGTGATGCAGGCTTGTAAGTGCTAGAGATGGACATCCACCACAGCAGCTTCTAAAATGCAATGCCAAATGTGAACGGCACAACTGAAATAAAATTCAATCAAAGATCCCTTCAGGGGTGACTTTGGATTAAGCAGGTCTGAGAGAGGTTGCATTTTAGTGACAACTTTTGTGCTACTACGTCCCAGAAGCTAACAGGGGGGGCACAGCTCCTTTTGACTGCATAGTAATTTAAAGTTGAAGCTGGATTAGTAAAAAAGCAGGAAACTTGTTTCTTCAAGCAAGTGCAGACAGCAGTACCTGGCCATCGTGGAGGAAGAACCCAACCTGGTAGGAGAACCCTAGCATGGTCTCCTTGTGCATGCCGTTGTGCAGGTTGTTCTTCAGGAGCTTCTCATCCAGCATAATGTGATAGCGGATTTGGTCTTCATCCTGTAAACACACAACTAAATTCAGATTTATGTAACAAAGCATGAAAAGTTATTACAGATAGCTTTTCCCGAAGGGTATAAGCCAAACGTTGATTGCCTGAATTTAAGGAGAAGCTTCTCCAGCCAGTAAGTTGTTTCGTATTTCCTACTGTGGAGAGACTGCATTCCTGTCATAATGAAACTTTTGTTGACCATGGGGGATGAAAGGCTATTGAACTGGCAGGACCAAGGTTTGCTTGAGCCTGGTAGTGTCCCTTTATGTGTACAGGGCTGGCTGACAGATTCAGGGAGAAGGTAGTCAGATGACTTTTTAGGACTCTGAACTTTGAGTTCATTTGACATCAAAAGTTGCATATTTGTGAGTGCCTCTATAATCTTCCCCATACCCATTCCTTCTTCCTTTGGGAGTCCCTGGATCACTTACAGATGAACTTTTACACTAATTTATTATACTAATTACATTTTCTGTGTCATTAAATTAATTAATTTACAGTCATTCAGTCAATAAAAGTTAGAGCCACATCTGTTAATTGGAAAGTTTTATATGCCACATTGCTAAAGTGTATTCATTTTTCATTGATGTGGTGAAATTACTCCCTGTACATCAAAATTTTTGTAAGGGCTTCCCAAGGCTTCTACATCTTTTTCCAAATCAGAAGACTCCCAGAGCTTTCCCTGACTTGGAGGAAGAAGCAGAAGCAGGATGTGTTTTGTGAGAGATTTGTAGATGTGAGAGCAGCTGGGGCATTTGGAGGGTTTAGGAGCTGCCTAGACAACAGATATAGTGCTGCTGTAACTCTATGTCTTTGCAAGAAAAGGTGCTTGTGGGAAATCCTGTTGCCTTCTGTTCCCTTGTTCTGAACATTTATGCTGCTTGCTGTTCTGCTCTTTCAGAAGTGTGTGAAAGCGTGAAGCAACCCCAGGTTGCAAGATTTGTGGTGTTGACTGGCTTTGCCCACAGGGTGAAATAGTGGTCTTTACATCTCTTAGGGTGGGACCCATTTGATTTTGATTTCCATAGATTTGACAAAGAAATATTTGCAGGCACGAGGGTGGGAATTAAGATAGAGCTTATCTCTGTCAGTGTCCAACCCTATTTAATCCTCCTGACTTGGATGCTTTGGAGGAAAAGTTAACTCTCATCTATCTTCATTTCTGTCTTTAATCACCAACAGAATGAGAGCAAAACCTTGTTTCATCAAAGACCAAGCAACGGGGCCTCTTCCCTGTACTGATCTCTTCCTTCTAAGGCAGAGTTCTCTCAAGAGGATAAGGTCTAGGCAGGCCTAACCTTATGGTTGTTCTGTGATTTTTCTTTGTCAGATTGCCACACCAGACAAGGTTGGGAGGATGGATGAAAGACAGAAGAACCATCGGTAAGCTGTGGAAATGAAAAGGATTTCTCTGTGTGTGTGTAACCTGAATTCAATGGGATTGATGTCGCATGTGTCTCTTGAAATCTGTTAAAAGTGCTTCTTACGGTGATGCAGAGAAGATGATGTTGTGTCACGAAACAATTAAAATAGCATTCAAAAGTAATTTGAGCAGACATAGTTTGATCACACATGAATTCTTCCGGTGAGACAGTCAGTAGGACTTTTGCTGTGGGTCTGCTGGTTGGTGGTAAATATTTTTGGATGTGTCTTTTGAACCCTGTGCTCCTCAGCTTCCTGGCAGTAAATGGAGACCATGAAAGTAGGGACAGAGTGCAGCAGGGTAAATATTTATGGAAGAGGCAGAAAAGTATTAATGCCATCGAGCAAGTCATGGGCAAAGATTCCTCTGTGAGGTGTGGCTATTGATATACGTGATCAATAAAGCTGTTTCAAACTGGAGCAAATATGGAGAAAGGAATGACAGAGGAAATGGATAGATTATCTTGGGAGGAGACAGGATTGAGAAGGCTGTTTGGCCTTGTAAGTATGTCAGGGCACACATGCCAGAGAGAGGACGTTGTTTCAGCTAAAGCATATTTCTGGCATAAGAATAAAGGAATATAAACTGGCTAGAGGTGTGTTGTCAAAATAATATAAACTAGCTCTGGACACGAGGACTGGGGACAGCACGGGAGGTAGGATGGACATGTCTGCATTGGTGGGAGGAGATGGTGGTGAGTTCAGGCATGAGGCTGGTGTGGGGCTCCTGGGAGTGGGCAGCAGCAGTGGAGTTTGCCCAAGAATATTTTTCTAGCCAGGAACATTGCAGAAATTTTTCTGAGCCTTGGGTCTGGCCAATGCTGCTTGTAAACTGGGATTAGAAATGGTCTGCAGAAAGTGGCCGGGCAATATTTTTATAGGGCAAGCATCTGGATAGTTTTAAGAAAGAGTCAGAATATTTTGTGGCATTATTAATGACGGGGTTGGCAGTGATGACAGGGAACAGGACTTGTTCACCTAGGAAACTCATTTCAGTGTTATTCTTTGCAGTGATCTTCTTTACAAAAAAAATCAAACCAAAACCAATCAACCAACTGAAAAAAAAAAAAGGCTACTGATGAAATGTGTTGGATATTATTAGCATGGTTTTAATCTAGAGAAGGACAAAACCCAGGACAAATACTAGACTCTTCCAGCAAGCCAGGAAAACGTAGGTTGATCTATCCCTCATCATCTCCTCTGGTGTTAAACGCAAAACCAAACTTACTGGATTTCTGGAAAACAAATCCCTCTTCCTATTTCTGTGTTCTCTCATTCTTGAAACTGCAATGAGATTCTCAGTTGTTAAGACAAGTCTTGTCAATGATACATACCAGAGTAGTAGACTTTTTATCCCTTAGGTAATTTTCTATGGCATCGTTATTTGGGGCAAAGACTGTGTATGTGTTTGCAGCTTCTATTTCATTTGCCAGGCTGTATTGCTGTTGTGAAACATACAAAACCAAATCAGAATGACCACTGATAGTCTGATACCAGTCCAAATGGAAACAAAGCAGAGATCCCCTTCTGTTCTTAAAACAATGTGAAAGCTTACAATAATGTAGCCCCTGAAAATGGAGTAATCAGGCATTTGCTCCAGGCGGGCCAGCAACCTCGGCATGACAGTGCTGCGGAGGGGGGTCAGAACCTGAAAAGGGAGCAGATATCCTATGTCAGTGCATGTGCACATGCTGTGGTTGCACCTGCAAGGATCAGATGCAGGACAAAATTCTGTTCTGTGCAAATTCTTTTTTCCAAGAGCTGTTAATTATTTTCTGCTGCTTGTGGTGCAGAAACAAATCCTCCCTATGCAGCCATATACCTTATCAATCACGTGTATGATCCCATTCGTGGATGTGATATCACCAGCCACAATGTGAGCGCCCTCGAGGGTGAGGTTCTGAAAGAGGGACAGGAGAAAAGGTTTGCTTTTCCTTTGCAGTGGTGGCATTTTCCCAGTAGTTCATGCTGTGGATTTCCACACCTTCCCAGATGCTTTCCTGGGGCTCCCCCACTGCTCTACCCATGCCAGTCTGCACCAGCGGCCGGGTTACCCTCAGGGAACCACGTGCAGGAAAGGTGACTTTGGGACTCTGCTATTCCCTCTGTGCAGACCAGCAAAGCCATGGGGTTGCTTGCACTGGGGTTGTTACTCGGGGTAGGTGCACTCACCCCCATCCCACGGCAGGGTGAACTCCTGTGCTAATTCATGCCCTTCTGTTTCTGTGTAGGTTTGAGGGACCCCATTCATGATTTTTCCCTCGGGGCATGGAGGCGGGGGGAACTTTTCCCTCCTTTAATGGGGATGAAATTCTTAAATGTGCCATATGTATTTCTAGAAAATCCTCTTCAGAATGTGGAGTACTAAATAAAAAGACTGAGGGGAAAGTGCTGTCATTTGTAGTTATTTAATGTTAAAAAAACCTTTAGGTGGTTTGGGACTATCAAGTTGCCCACGTGGACATGTACACGGTATCACTGCTTCCTCCTATCTTCCCAACTCCCTCAAAAAAGTTATTTGGTTTCCTTGATGCTCTTTGTCTTAAATCAGTTCACACAGGCTGCTACAGGCAGGGACTGTGCTTCCGCTTGGCTATGAGATTGTCCAGGTTTTGCTGCAGCCTGGGACGTTAGGAATAAATAATATGGTGGACAAATTTCAGCTAGGTAAAGTGGTGGAGAAAATCAAGTTAATAGTTCTCCCAGAGGGCCCAATATAATTGATCTATGCCTTTAATTTTACAACATGGTCTTTTTCTAAATACGGGTACATAACGTTTGTGTGGTTTTGTAATACAAAGACAGTCAATGACAGTGATGGTCAGGGTTTGATATATAATACCACAGTGGTTTGCAGGTCATCTCACCCCATTTTCTTTGGACAAGTGTAGGAAGTTGCTCTTTAGAGATGTTGGCAGCATGTCCGAGGACGATAAATTCTGGAAATCAGCAAAGCTGTAAGCTCCTGTCAATACATGATATCTAAAGGAAATTAATGATTAACAATCATTAAGGATTTGAAGGTTTTGTATTTTCTCTTTTTCTGTCTTTTCAGATAAATATGATTGGTGTGTCTATAACTGTGATTTAAAGTAGGAATTGTTTGTACAATGCCTAGTTCAGCTGTGTTCTGATCTTAGCTTGGCCTTTAAACATTTCTGACATAATACAAATAACGCCTTTGTTTTCAGTGGAGTTGCTCCAGAGATTTACACCACTGTAACTAGAAGGGGAATCTTGTGTCCCTCCCATAAAATTATACTAGCTGTCATGCTCTAGTGGCTTCAAACCAAAGGCTTGTTTAACATAAAAAGCAATTCATTAAAAAACCCCAACCCCCAAACAATTAACATACTTCAGTAGAGTTGGGATGTTACTCTTTGACATCCAAAAGTCTTTCTCATCTTCATCCATGTTTTCAATTGCTTGGAGAGAAGGCACGAGGACAGTTAGGTTTGAGGTGGTGGACAACACTGAGTTTATCTCAGCCTCCTGCATGAAAGTAAAGAGGGTAAAATAATTCATCCTACGGACAATTTATAAATAGCACCCAGTGACTTCTTAGCAAGGTGGAGTATGTGACGTGCTTTGTGACCAGCCTGGAGAGGAAAAACTATTATACTGAGCAATGACTCGAACAAAAGTACTCAGACCTGTACAAAAATAGTAGATGAGTGTCTATTTTTCACAGAATAGATTGCCAGCATTTAAAGGGCAGAAGCAATGTTTAGGTCAGAATTGTGTTTTATTATGAAACACCTAAGTTACCTCCCATAAAAGTTAGTCTGTCTCATGGATTCTATTTTATGCACATGAATGTTTAAAAAAAAATATGGTGAGAAATACTAGTGATTACTGATAACTTCAAGTAACCCGATCTTACAGAGCACTCCATGCTATTTAGTAAATGAAGGATTATGAACCATGAAATAAGAAACCCACATGACACAATGTTCCTATTTGCAATAAGACTATTTAACATGGCTGGGATTTTTCAAGATGTCCAAGGGATATCTGTGCCCACTAGCACTGCAGTGGAGCTTGCTGATGACAGCTCTAATTTTAGATGGAGGATGTGGGCTCTGTAGCATGCATGGACTGATTCATCTTCCATATGTTTGTATCTGCCTTAAGGACAGAGAGAGCCTCCACTAGAGAGGATTTTTCCAGTTGTGTGGATTTTTTTGTGGGGTAGAAAAAGGAGACCTAAAGATTTGAATGTGATCTTGCTGAAGTTATTGTTCTCTAAACTTTTCACAAGCTCCACAACTTGCCATTTTTGATACTGCAAAACTTGAGGTAGCAATATGAGCTTGGGTGTTCTACTTTTTTGCAGCTGGTATACTGCCTGGAAGCTGGCTTGTTTTGGATAGTCCTTCAATACCCGTACTGGGTTTTAAGTCAAGAAGGGAACCAGTTCCTTTAAATAGCTGGGAATTTTGTCTTTGTTAAGATCATCTTTCTTTCTAGCTATCATCACTGTCACCTTCCAAATATTTAAATGTAGAAATAGCAACAGACTTCCCTTTCTCATCCTTCTTCCCCAGTAAGAAAAATACTTTGAAAAGTGGTAAACACCACATTCCTACTCAAGCATGAAGTTAAAAACCCCACATATGGAAATACCTCCCTATTTTGCTCATGTTTGTAGATAGTTATTTAATTTAACGAATACCATTTCTCTGAAGTGTAGCACAAATTTCCAGATCCCTGTTTCAATAGGTTATACAGAATCTTCTCCCTGATTTCCCCCCCACCTGGCTTCATTATCTAAAGAGCCCATTAGCAGGTGAACAGCTTTTCCTATTGTGCTCATTTCTTTAATTTCATTAGTTTCTCTATACAGGGTCCAGTGCTGCAGCCTGGGTCCAGGGCCAGGCAGATAACTGATTTAAATTAGCCACACTGGCCTCTCCTTTAAGCAGCTCCCTGAGGTCCCTGTTGCAATTGAGTGCTTTAATGATCCCTGAGCTGTCTAACTTTGAAAAGCATGAAAGCAGCTAATATGCTGAGACTTCTGCTTCTGATGCTATTCATTAAAATATGTCTGTTCCTTTCTGTTTGTCCTGTATTTGCTATACACTTGTATTTAGGTTTTAAGCTCTTTGTGGGAGAAACTGGTTTTGATCTTTATTCATACAGTGCCAACCACAGTGGGGCAGGACCTCTAATGTTACTAGATGTAAGGTAATAGATGATAGCATATGAAAATAAAGTAGACAGTGACAATCAATCTATCTAGAACTTTTTTTTTAATTGAAATTGTTGTTTCTTCCCTAAACTGAAGCCAAATAAGATAATCTGTTTCTTCATGTCCTGCACCTCAGTCAAACCTGCACAGGCTGAGATTTTTCCTCCTTGCTTGCTGTGTACCAGCACAGTGACCAGCCATACAGTTGCATTTTCCTGGCACAGGGCTCAGTGAAAATGGGAAGGGTAAGGCATTGCTTTCTGTCTCCACTTGCTTGTAGCTTTGTAGCATGAGGGAAGTTGGAAAGAGCCACTTGGCCTATTCAAGTTCTGCTTGTACCCCATTGCTTGTCATCTGGATTACAGTGCATTTATGTGCAGAGCTAGTGATGGCTTATATAGCCCCTTGCCTCAGAGAGTGAGCTTGTAACTCGCTCTTCTGCTTGTGGAGCTTCCTTACTTGCCCAAATTTGGGATCAGAATTTGGTTTTCAGGCAGAAATAGGGAACCAGATCATCAGCCCTTCTGTGCCTGGTGGGAGAGGCACTCTGATGCCTCTTGGGCCTTTGCTGTGTGGTGAGAATATTGCTGGGAGGTCCCCATTTTGTAAGACTAAAAGGCTCATGGTTTTTCATGCAAATTTGAACATGCTAAAAAACCCCCCCAACAACCAGCAATGAAGTGTACTTACATCAACCCATTGGTTAAATGCAGCTGCTTCTGATAGAGTAGATAACTCCTGATTAGAAACAGAAAGAGAGAGCAATGAGTATGTAAGCTATAATTAGCTGTACCAAAGTACTCTTGCTGCAGCCTTTGGTGTAACCCACTGTGTCTGGCCTGGCTGATGTGACATGAAGGAGGAGGTTTTCAGTGTGTGTGAAAAGGACGGATGTTTGTGTTTTTCTAGTACTGATACTTCCTGGTAGTGGGAATGGTGAGTTACCAACTCTTTTGAAAATTGGGTCATCTATTGCCTAGGTGTATTAGGTGTACCTGACCTTGGTAAGTAACGTGTACTGACCTCAAACTAAGCATTAGTTTTCTGGTAACGTAAACATAAATCTCTTCTTCAATGCAAAATTAATTGAAAAAAGGTATGTTGTTTTGCTTGGTATTTGTACAGCGTCTTGCATATCATCCTGCAAGTGGAGAACCTTTATTCTGCCATAGTACTTCAAATAGAGATAGATGATGGTATAAGCAGGGATGGCAGAGAGTGCTAAGAGCCATGTAAGATGATTACCAGTGGCTGGGACAGCCGACACTTTCATTTTTTCTGTGCTGTTAAATGCGTATTTATTTCACCAATTTAGCTGTTTTGGTTTTATTTGCCTGCCAGTCAGTATGGTATATTTTAACACGATAAATTGGCCGTTTCCAATGAGATAAGACCTCAAGGCAGAACTTCAGAAGAGCTGTGTGCTTGCTGCTCCCAGCTGGGAGGTGAGTGCTTAGCGCCTCCACATGTTAGGCCTCCGGGGCTGGCATTTTTCAATTTGTCTTAAAGAAATATGCTTGGGTCCCTTAGGCCCCTTTCCAAGCTATGTTTTTAAACACAACAGATCATTTTTGTGTCAGGTAAGAAGAGTCTCCAGCAGGAACACTGTCTGCAGATAGCACTGGTGGGCATCATATTTTTCTAACTCTTCATAATGACTTTGTTATCTTTCTGGTTAAGATCCAGTGTGAGAACTGTGCAGTGGGTTCTGCGCTCAGAGAAGGTGACCATCTTACTTACATCTGCAGCATTTCCATAGCATATTCTACCATCTCCTTCATAGCCCTTTGGGCACACGCACTCCCAGCCATGAGAAGACTCAAACTGACAAGTTGCCTTTGAAGCAGAAAGAGAGAAAATTTGACAAATACTTAGGAGACCACTCAAGAGCAAGGATGGTCTGTAAAGCCTCTTACTGAAACTCATTCATATACAAACATAAACTTAATAAAGGCTCTTTGCACCATCTTCCATGGATGTCCCCACCATCCTATAGGACAAACTCCACCAGCTGAGGGCACTAACTCCCTCACCTGCCCACCATGCACTAAGTTTGTAGGAATCTAAACCCTTGCTCCATCCTTTCTTACTTCCTTCCTACAGAAACAGGGCCCTGTTCCTTCACTGAACAATGGCAGATCCATCCTCTGCTCCCCAATGCCTTTGCTTTAGCTCTGTCCCTGTGTCCTACCTGAGGTTGGCGTGGCTCTTGCAGGCCCTAAAGAGCACAGCAGAGCCTGCAGGTCTGCTGAACACATGCAGCTACTGATAAAGCTGATAGGTTGCTGCATAGAGATGCGTGACTTGGGTAAACATAGCAACAGGCTAGTGCATCTAAATTGTAACTGCTAGTAGAGAAGCAGCATTTATTTGTTCCAGGATCAAGATAGTCCTTCTGCACAGGCAGAAGTGGCAGCAGCCCTTGCAGTCCATCCTCAGTGCATGTACCATAGCGAAGTGGCTCACACACCTTTTTTGGCACTTGTAGCACTGCTTGGAAAGCTTTGTTCTGACTCAAACAGAAATTGCAGGCTTGCAATGGCAACTAAATTCTATGGTGTGTGCAGGAGGCGAGGTGTGATATGTATCTGAACACTTTGTTCAGGGAATGATCAATTACTCACCAGATGATGGCATTTTCCATTTTGTTCCAGGCATGAGTTTATGGGTGTGCATTCAATTCCATTTCCCCGAAATCCATCCTTACACTTGCAGTCATTCTGTCATTTCAATAAAACACAGCAATTCATTAAAATGATTAAAATAGTGTGCATATTCTAGATGTGGTGAATTAGTCTCTCTGTGTTTCTGTGTATCTCCATTGACTTCAGTGGAATGACACTGATTAATATCTCCAAAAGACCTTTATACCTGACATCTACTAATGTACTTACTCAAACGTTGCTGCCAGAACACCACCACCAAGCAGGAGGGAGGGAGGGAGCACTGGGATAGCAACTGAAGGAGACTGCTTTGGGTAGGGACGACGGTGCGGAAATAACCTTGTGGATGGGAGGGAGAGGAGAATTTGGGGATGAAAACAGTGGGAAGCCCTGGCAGAGCAAAATGGGTGAGGACTAGTGCCAAAGGTGGCAATGAATGTGAGAGGACGTACCTGACCTGGCCCAATGTATATGCAGGTGGCATTTTCATGGCACCCTGCCACGGCGGGCAGCAGGCAGTTGTTGATGGCTGAGCAGTCTCTTCCATCTCCTGTCCATCCTGCCTGGCAAATGCATGTGTGATCTCCTGGGCCCGTCTGAATGCACTCGGCCTGGGGGCATGTAGAGGCATCTAGTCAGGACAGTTAGATGGCATCTGGCTTTAGGTGTAAGGCTTGTCTAAGCAATAGTGATGCCTCTATGTGGGGAAAGGGCTTGTAACCGCAGTGAAAATTGTGACTCTTCCTTCTGCCAATGTCTCTGGCCAAGCCTTCCTTACTGCCTAATTTTCTATGGTGTCAGACTCTGTGGGAAAAGCATGTACTTACATTGATATTGCAGCCACCGGGGTTTAAAGCAGCACAAGGATCAACTTTGCTGCAGCTCATGCCATCTCCTTCATAGCCAGGTTTGCAAACACAGCTATAGAGACAAGAGGAGGGAGGCATTAAATGTGACAGGACAGCTGTAAAGTGAAGGGGTTGTTTTGCACTGTAACATGCTATTTATAGGCAGTTTAAAATTGGTAACCTTGGATTCATGATGCAAATAGATTGTGTGCATATATTATGATTTTTTTTTTTTTCTAAAATATTGACTGGGTTAATGAAGTCAAATCGGGGATCTATTCTCTGTGTATGAGATGGGGAGTGAAATTAATGCTGTGCTGATGTGACCTTTGCAAAGATGAGCTAATAGCTCTAAATTAATTATGAGCTGGGGTTACTCTTTCTTCCAGTGACACAGAAGATTGCTGTCTTTCTGAAATGCATGCAAGAGAGTGACCCCCCTGTTTCCCTGGATTGTCCCCCTGCCCAAGATTAACCCATAGTGGAGAGAATTTCTTAAGCACCCAAGTTACGCAGCATCCCCCATTCTGCTTTCTGTGGTGGCTCCTTATGAATACACTGCAGCAAGAGTCAAACTTGCTGTGTTTGAACGTGAGCATGAGGTAAGCGTAAGGCAGTAACAGAGTTTTGTGACCAGTCCTGTCAGGACTGGAAAGCCTGTGCTGAAGTCCACAGTGTTGTGGCATGTAAATCTTAGCTGAGCTGACCGGACTGAGCTATCTATCCTAAACTGCTTGAGAGTTTCATTGTTTTTCAGCAAGGCTCAAACTCCTAATTCACTAAGGGATGATTAGAAATAAGAGGTTCCTAAGACCCTTTGTAGACGTTGGTAGGAAGGCAGCCTTCTGAACAATGGTCAGATCTGTATGCATCTATCTTATCAGAATAAATACAAGGTACAGGATAGGGCATTGGGGACTCTTAATCACTACCTTGCAACTCAAGGTCAATGCGGTGTATGTTTATCTTATTTGCTGCATAGCAGTATTGCAGTGGCTGATGTTTGTGTACTGCTACAAGGTGCTGTTTTGATCAAGCAAATAGGAAAGAGCTGCAGCATAGCTAATATTAATTAGATGCAAGTCACTGACTTACCTCACTGCACCATCGCTAAGCTGACAGTCTGCATGTGCATGGCAGAGCTGTAGGGAGGGCTCACAGGGAACAATCAGCTTATCACAGAGTTTCCCTGTATATCCACTTCTGCATGATCCAGGAAGACAGATCCCATCACTGTCTATGCGGTTGTCACACTTCCCATAAATGCAGAGACACTCTACCAGAGATAAATTACAATGTGCAATTCCATAGTGGTAAAAGGCACTTATCCTTATGTACAATTTCTTAAGAATTGGGTGGGTCCTCCTGTTTTTCTAGAATCTAAACTTTCATATTTTTTGGGTCTCACTTTGTTGGGGAACTTACTGCTTATTTATCACATCCATGTCCTTTTAGGTGTGCTTTATGGGTGACTATTTAAAATCAATTGTGTCTCTGCAGTGCACTTATCTATCAAGCAATTTCAAAATACTTTAGAAAAGGAGGAGCAAAATACTAAGTCCTCGGTTATTAAGGTTCAAGTTATTTCATTGCACAACTTTGGGTGTACTTTCAGTGATATGGGAAGCCTTTTAATACTGAGTCCGCAATCCTACAAATTGTGCAGTGCTGGGCTAGTACGCAGAGCAGCAGCACAGACCTACCAGCACTTTGCTGGGGCTGGGCTGATTAGTGCTGCTGGGAGGCACAGTGATATGCTCAAAGGACATAGTAGGTAAGCCTTCTGCAGTCCCAAGAAGTGCCAGTGGTGACCAGTTTAACCAACATGTATTGCTTTGGTGGGAATGGAGCTTAGGCAGTACTACTTTTTCGTACGGAATTTGTCTCTCAGTTTTTGTCCATGTACCTCTGAACCTTTGAGTGAGCCGTGCTTCATGAATGATGGGCTGTTTCATAGCAAAAAAGACTAAAAACAATTTTGTAGATGGGGAATATGTCTGAATTTGATGTTGTATATTTTGTAGACTCTCAAATGTAATACAGTTTGACATAGCAGCATTAAACCTGTCAGTATATAGAAGATGACTGCTAGAACTATAAGCTATTCAATAGATCAGACATTATTCAGTAAGGATGGTTATTAAGTGGCCCTAAATACAATCTGTTTGTAGATCTAGTTGTTCTTAGATGAGATATGTTTGACATTGCAGACAGAATCTGTTCTGTTGTGGCCAATACCAGATGGGAATGGAATAGCAAAGATTTTCTTTTCAATTACTTATGTGAGGGAGACAGATGAAAAGAACAACAAATTAGTATAAAGCAAGCTATGGCCCCTGCAGAAAGCCCAATTAAGTCAGTGAGAAGATTTTCACTGACTTTGGGCTTATATACATTTGAAACAGGAAATGAAAGTACCCCAGAGACATCTTGCTCATCTTGCCATAGAGACTATTTAGCGAGCAGTTAACTCCTACCTTAATGTTACTAGGGTCCAAAAGAAATAGTCCATGCTTTTACGCTGAGGAAATACGGCAGTACTTACCTTTGTCACACTGAGGTCCATATTTGCCAGGATCTGAGCAGAACTGACAGCGCGAGCCTTGAAATGCCTCAGCACAAATGCAGGTCCCATTTCCATCCAGGCCATCCATGCACTGTGATATGGAAGAGAGGTGATTTCTATGTATACACTGAAATAAATCTTTATTCTTCCTCCAGAGAAGAGACTATATGCCTGTCCATATTACAACTGTGATGGACTACCAGGAAGAACAACAGCTTTGATGAAAAAAGGTGTTTCAAAACAGAAGCTTTCCTTGTGATTGTACTTTGCTGCTGTGTATTCTGCCTTCCTTTGCATTTTTAAAATAAGAATAGTGAGCTGGGTCATTAGCCTGTGTTGTGCGAAATGAAAGTATCAGAGTGGGTCACCTAGGCCCAGCCTTGCTTGTGTGCTGTGTGTTGGAACCACAGACACCTGCAATTTGGACATCTGAGAGGAGGCAGATTCATTTTCCCTCCTCTGTCTAACTGGGTGTGAAATTCACGGCCATCACTGGATGTAAATGGAGGGTGCAGCTCTTGTGGAGCTTAACATTCCTGTTGTGCAGAAGTGCTTCAGGGACTTTTGGGACACAGCCTGTCCTTCCCCCCCATGGAAGTACAGGATGCTGCCGGATGCTTTGCTTACCTGCCCGTTTCCTGAGCAGGGTTTGGAGAAACCTCCTGGACACGGGCTGCAATCAGGGCCAAAGAAGCCTTTGCAACACTTTGGTTCCTGTGAAATAAAGCAAATATCCTCTTTTCCAGTGCCTTTGTGCAGAGGCAGTGCACAAAAGACAGCTCTTGATCGTGTTTTGGTCCTCTGGCAAAGGCCTGTAGGGGTATCTGGCTCTTAAAAGGCTGGTGTTGAACCAGAACCACCTCTGCAACAGCCTCCTCAAAACCAGGAGGGGTGTTGGCAGCCCAAGAAGGGGGTGAAAGACCACCAGATCCTTCCCTTGTTCTTATCAGACTCACCAGTGTTAGAAATCCCTGTCCTGTCACTAGTTACAAACATGCCTCTGTGTGTCTGCTCATGTTGTGTGCACTCTCCTATTTGCCAGTGGGAGCACAGTGCAATTCGGAGGCAGGCAGTCTCCTTTGCATCTGAGATCAGGAACCTGAAGACATGTTTTACCCCAGGGAGATGCCGTGAAAGCTAGACATGCTGCTTTGATCTTCCTCCTTCCTCTCTGCACCAGTGTGGGATTTAGCTGCTACACAGCCCTAAATGTTTTTCTCAGCTGCGTCTTTTGTTTTATTCATGAATTGGCTGCTGGATCCATTTATTTATTAAGAGCACAGAAAGCGTGTTAGAAAAAAATCTCATTTACATGTGTGATTCAAGGGAAATAGGAATTAGCAAAAAGCTCTCGAAGCTTATGGATTTGTACATTTCTCTACTCGTTACTTAATGGTGGTCATGAAATGCAGCAAGCCTATTTAGAAGCCCCAGGATCCGGAAAGGTGTAAGAACTTCTCAGGGCCTAATGACTTCTGTGAGGACTACACTTGGCAAGCAGAGCAAGCGCAGCGTGGTTCTCAGGAGCGTTTCCCAGTCATTGTTACCCAATATCATGTGAAGTCCTGGGACAGGAGGGGCTGGGACCAGGGGGAACAAAGCTGACCTGTTCTTCATGAGTGAAGCTGTATGGGGTAATGACAACATCTGGGCTTGGAGCCTTATGTGAAAATTCCTGTGTTACAGAGTATGACAGCATTGTTCTTAACAATGTATGGCAGCTAAAAATCCTCACTAGAATTTGCCTGTTTTGCTCTAAGATTTACAGTAGCTCCTCTCAGCTCCCTGTAGAAGGGTATGGAAACTATGTGACATCTCCAAGAATCCCTCAACTCCAAAACGAAAAGTTCACAGTGCAAAAGACAGTATTTTGGAAAATTTTAATATATGTTTCACCTTAAAGAACTGTAACACTATACCTTTATTGTTATATTGCAGGCTCTAGCACAGCCGGTTTTTTGAAAGGTTGAGCCTTCAATAATGCATCTCCGTTTTGAGAAAGGCTGGAACATGTACAAAATGGAAGCATTAGTATTGCTAAGAAACATATAGTTCTGTGACAGAGTCTTATATCACGACATAATTTAACTTGAGAGCAGAAAGCACCTTGCTGTAGTGTTGCATTTTAAAAACTCATTGAATGATATATTTTTTCATAATATGAACTTTCTCTTCATTATTACTGAATAATAGCATCTAGGACTAACTGCCAGTGAATTTTTGTAACATGGGGAATAGAATTCCTGTGGTAGCTAGACTTGAGTTTTTTGTATATGGAGAAATATGCAGACAGATTTGCATCTCTTGAATTCAAAGCATATGGAAGATTTTCAGTCCTTTCTGAAGCTGCTGCTGCAGACAGCAACTTCTGTGAGGATGCTTAATCAAAAGGAAATTTTTAACAGATGTGAGGACTATCTTAAATGTATCCCTCCTCTATTTCTCATTTACTAGCTCTCAAAGCATAATCATATCAATTCTCATTTCTCACCTCTGTCTTCTGCTAAAGCCTATCCAAAACAGATCTTAGTTTATATGAGAAAAGAGTCAGAGCTTCCATGAAGGGAGGGGTCTTGCAACAGCAAACAAAAACACACTGAAATTACTCTATCCTTCGTTCATTGCCAAAAAGAGACTAAAGTACCACTTATATTTGTATTTTTAAGTAGTTTCCTGTATTCGTATCTGGTTCTTTTGCTGACTATATTAGGAAAGCAGTAATCAAAACATGGGGACCTCTTCCCTCTATGCATTTTGTACTGGGAATCTGTCAGGAAAGTCACTTACGATGGGCTTTGAATTCTGAGGACAGGTAGCCAGTGTACTTGATAAACAACTTGCACAGATACCCTAGATGGAAGCAATAAGGATAGTCAGTTGAAAAAGCATTATACCAACTATGAGATGCATACTTATGGATGATGTGCCCTGTAAATTTTAAGTAGGTCTGTTCTATAACTTTTAACTGTCACAGCATGGATCTGGATGTGAACAGCAGCACCAGGCCTTTATCTGCTGGCTTTGATTTGTGCTGAGTTGTTGTTCATTTCCACCTTCCCCTTTTTGTCTTCATGTGTCCTTCCCCTACTCCCTTCTTTTAAAGAACTGGCAGCTTCCTAAATGGAAATGTACTGGAGTCGTTTGCTCAACCTAGTATAATATGCTAGCTGATATTTCTGAGGGTCAGGTGCAGTCTGTACACTTAACTTCCATGAGAGTTTTTTATTTCTTCCTAGGAAGATCACAAATTAGTTGATTCTCGTACTTAGACAGTGTGAACAGAAATTTGTCTTGTGTATAGGTGGTGGAGAGAAAAATATTCTTTGCTTCCATGTCGTAGATCCTGTACTCTACTATGATCTGGCAGTGTATAACTATTTTTGTCTTCACCTTTTGGTTGTCTTTACGCGCTAGCTAATTTACCACCATGTGGTGGTGACAGAGACTGGCAATTACAGTACTGAGAAGCTATAAACTCCAGTGGCAGTTTTAAAGGTGAGTCCTCTGACAGGCTCAACATGCAATGACTTCAGAGAGGTTGAGCCTTTCAGTGTGAGGATATGTCAAAGCTGTGTTGATCATGACTGCTGATGTCTTGTGTTTCAGCCAAGTTAGAATAAAACGTAGAGCTGGCATCTGATGTGTTACTTCACTGTGTTTCACAGTCAGTGGACCTGACACCAGTCATGAACCTGAATTATGGAATTTTCCCTGCAGATTTATCACTGGTGTTGTGGGGAAAGAATCCGTTACTGGTTTGGATTTCGTAGTCCCTCATGTTGTACAGCATTTACAGGAATAAAAGACCAGGTTTACAAAAGCATTTGGGTATCAAATAGTTGAGGTACCAATGCCACTACTATGTTTTAAAGGTATGTGGCTCAGATGTATTTTGGAAATTATATTTGGGCATTATAAAAGCTCTTTCATAAGCTATATAGTCATGCCTGAAGTTGACTTAGGCTCTTAGCTTTCTTTGCATTTCTGAAAATCCCTGCAAGTGCCTCTTTGCTCCTTTAGAACTTAATCTGGCTGACTGCTGTGGAAAATATTTCCTGCTTTTGGTGTTGTTCTCCCTCCTGCTCAGTGCCACTCAGTGTCATGTATTTGCTTCCTTTCTTCACCTGGCATATACCTGCTCCCTCCTTTTCCTGAGGACAGGAGTCCTGTCTGTCCCCTCTGCCACGCTGCAGAGGGGGGAAAGGAAAATGTGTCTGCACTTCCATGCAAGGTTCAATCTGCCCATTTTCAGCAGCAGATTAAAATACTGTCTTTGCACTGAAGTGTGCGAAGCGTAGATGTGTATTCCTTTCCACCAAGTCTGCTGTGGGAGTGATGACCTCTGGAAAGGTATTGAGTCCTGCAGTTATTGCCAGCATTCAGGTACAGTTACATGGCTATGTATGTGTTAGCATAATGGTTTAATCTTTAGGGATGTATAGTTCTTTTAGGTATGTACAACTTCCAGTTCCTGCAAGGTTTGCCACTTTTCACTGGTACCACAAGTAGTATTTACAAGGTGGCATTGCTCTTGTTTTCTGAGAGTGAAGCAGATGCACCATGGCAGGTAAGAACAGCAAAGCCGCTGTTCCCTCTGGTATTCTCCTTGGTAGCAGTGCTCTGTTTAAAGCTTTGGATATTTAAGCATATTTTGAACTATGCATGAAGATTTCAAAGCTGACAAAAGTTCCTGACTTCAGTCTGGAGACTAATTTTTGTGACAGATGTTATTTCCTTTGTCTTTAAATAATTTTTCATAGTGTTGCTTTAGGATTGATTGATGTCAGATGCAGATTGTAGGTAGGTTCCTGCTAGGGAATTCAAATTATTGGAGTATAATTTTAATTTGAAAGGTGTTCTGTTTTTGTATTGGAGATCGCGGCTCAGTGCTCTGCCTGGTTTATGATTATATTGCACATATGGCACTTGGTAGTTACTGCCAGAAGTAATAGTTCTTTACTGCCAGCTCTTGTATTTTCTTCATTAAATTTTGATGCTGTCCAGCTCTGCTGGGAACCTCTTTCAAGGCTCTGGTTCTGGACTGTTGTAAGCTAAGATAGTAAATGTTTCACATTACTGTACCGGAACTGTTACTAGCCCAGATATGTGCTTGGACACAGTCCAGTAACAGCTCATTGGAGCCATGCTTGCTGCAAACTAAAAGCTCAGTTTGAAACTTGGCTATCTTACCAGAAATAGTATCTGAAATTTACCATGTGTAAAGGCCTGTACTGTGTTACCAAACTGAAAAAATTATGTTGAAATCCACTCTTTGAAATATGAAACTGTTTTCTAATTCCTGATTTGAAGAAAGCAGGGCTAGGGGAAATTGTAGCTTCTGAAAATAACATACTTGTAATATATTAATATAAAATTAATTATTACATTAATATTTTAACTTGCTGGCTCCTTTCCCTGCATATTTAGTAGAAATGAAAATACTGATCTGAAGTAGTTTCCCTGGGAACTTGACACTGCCTACCATGTACTTGTACACACAGGTGGGATTCAGAAACTGGAGGAAAATCTTTAACTGGAGAGGCAACATACTTGAAAGGGCTAGTGCAAGAACAAGATGCGTTAAAGTGGTATAGGATGTGCTCATATGAGTTCCCTGTTTGCAGATTATTTGTATCTGTGCAGTACTGCTAGCCAAGTGGCTGTATGTCATATTAATTTTGAAAAATACTCCCCTTTTTATGGACAATGTGAGAGAAAGCAGTAAAGAGGAAGCTGGAGGGTATTATATGGAGCAGTCAAGAGGCAATGATTTGTCATGATTCTCTTACCATTGTGACTTGACTTCTTGTCTCATCACACCGATGTGGTAGAATCGGAACAATTGTGGGTGGGATAAGGACTCCTGCAAGAGTATATATGCGACCATTTTTTGCAACGATATCTGTTTCTTCCATTTCTTCTCCACTCACCAAGACTTGTCCCTATGAAAAAATAAATTATTATTAATAATAAAATTTTCATAGCTTCTGAATTTAATGTAATTTAATTTCAATTATTTCTAGTCATACTTCTTTTTAATTGCTATCTATTCTTTATTATGCTTGTTTTATGCAAGAAGCACGCATATATTGTTCATTTTCTTGGATATTGGTCTACAAGAGCAGTACCTAAATTTTTCCTCTTAATCTGCACTGTGGAACTGATGACTAAAAGACTGGCCAAAATGGGAAGACTACCAGCGACTTCAGATCCTGATTTCAGTGGGCATAAGCATGCTTTCGTCCTCTCTTTGACAAAGGGGGAAAAAAGTCAGAGAGAATCTGTGATCTTTCCAAATTCACAGGAGAGAAAAAAAGGAGTATTTTTTCTGCATTTACTTATGCAACTGCTCTGCCTTTATAAGAATTTTCACAGATGCATCTCTTCTCTAGAATGTTCATATTTGGCTAAAATATGCAAACAACAGAAGAGAGTTCAACCTATCAGATAAGTTTGGCTTAGGAAAAGTAGACAAATTAACACCTTTAAAAAAAGTGTTCACTAGGTTCATCAGTATCAGAAACTATAGCATTAAAAGGAATGAAAGAATATCTATGTGTGCACTGAGAAGTGTTTAAAATAACCAAAATATGTAACAGAGTGATAATATTTTAAATAGATGGGTTTTTTTTCTGAACTAGGCAGAGCATAAATAAGGATCATTCCTGGACTGGGACTAATTAGAAGAAAAAAGAAGCTTCAGGCTGTTCTTATATACCAGTCATTTGCTCTTCATCCTTTATAACGCTGATTTCTAACAGTAGGTATGAATGGCAAATTGAAAATTTCTGCATCGTTATAGAAAGAAATTCCTCTGCTAATGTCCCTGCCTCCTCCCATTTTTATTCCCCCTGCACGCAAACTGTTGCCTACATCAGAGAGAGCTGCTCACAGTGAAAGCTGCCTTTGACTTACAGTACTGGTCCTGTTGAAGTAAATGAACTGCTTCGCCATGCTTCTGATGCGCTCTATTGAGACGAGGCTGGCAACCTCTAGCTGAAATGGATATAAATTGATTGAAAGAGATGTTATAACATTATTCTTTTCGAACTCAGATGAATTTCACAAGAAAGACTACCTTTCTCTTTAAGGTGAGCAAATGACTCTATCAGCTACGTGGGCAGCCTCACACTGATTAACGTGCTTGTGTATCAAAGTTAGTGATTAAATTTTGACTGCACTTGCTGCTTGCTGGATGTGAAGAGCTTATTGCCCAAAAGGATATTAATTTTCCTCCCAATTACAGCAACCTGTGTAAGTAAAGTTATCACCTCTCCCTAAAAATAGCCCTGTTTGCATCCTTAGACCACTGTGGACACAACAGTGCTGATATCCTGTGAAGGGACACGTGGATCTTGTGCCTCTGTTCCCTGTGATTCTGCTCTATGCTAAGAGTGACCTCCGCCTTGGATGCCTTTGCTAAGGATAAGAGCACATCCTTCCTTCCTTGCAGCTGGGGTGGGGATGAAGTTCAGTATCCTCTAGCCTCTGTTGTTGTTGGTGTTTCTGGGTTCTGCTCTTTGTTTCGGGTGGAAAAAGGAGGGGGAAAAACAGGGGGCTTACTTAGAGGATGACAAAACCACCTCTCCCTGATAAACATGAGATTGATCTTATCAGAATAGGCTCAGAGAGAGCATGATTTTGATAACAATAAGTACTTTTCTTGCTCCTTGTTCCTGTAGCCCTGCTAAACTGACAGTACCCCCTGACAGTGGTTCTTGTTCCACAGCAGGCTTAGGTAGTGTGTCTTAGGTTCAGGATGACTATATTTATATTTTTTTTCTTTCTCCACTTGGGCTAAGTCCCCATCACCAAAAGGTATATTTTAAAGTGGAAGTAGTTAATTACATGTAACACACTAGTGTGACACAACATATTTTTAATTTCCCATGATTCAAGGACTACCCCATGCCTCCTAGCAGGGTTTTATTTTGATTAGCGACACTGAGTTGAAAGGTTTGTGTTCTCTGTTAGTGACTCTTATGTAACTACTCTTACTAAAGGCAGAGGCATAGCTGTCCTTTGCAGCCTTGCTGTGCAGCACTGAGTGGAGACTGTTCTTGGAAAACCTCTGCCTTCAGAGTGGCAAAGAGTTCGAAAATGCTCTTTTATGCTGGGTCAGTAAAGCAGCTGTGCTCACCTCAGTATTGGAAACAATGTGGTATCGGACCAGCTCCAGCAACTTCCATGAACCCTGCCAAAACAGAAAAGACATTGTTTGGTTTAGCCCAAAATGAGTCACGCAAACCCAACCTGGCCTATCGAGAGGACATGGGGATGAGAACAGCATCACTGGCTGGTGCACCAGAAACCTTTGGGTCAGTGCCCTGCCACTCCGTGCACTCACACCTGCACCATTTATTTCGTCATGAGCCTTTCAAAACTTGTGTGTGCTGGGAGAAGCAGGAGGCATCCAGGTGACCGGGTGCTGATATCTGCCTCCTGGGACCCCACCAGCAGTAGCTGCCAGAGCCCTTGTGACATCTGCTCCCCTTGACTGTTCCCACCAAGGGTGACACCTTCCAGGAGAGGGTTTGGGGCTTTGCCATGTGGCTGTCTGGGCTGTGCTGTCTGGGCAAGAGCAGGGGAGTGAGGGCCTAGGGTGGGGGATTGTCATTGTTTTATATGATGGGAGATCCCAAATCCTGTTCCTCCTTAGGTGTCATCTTGATCTTTGATTGTTAGAGATGGCTTAAGCCTTGATTATAGAGTCTTAGCTTAGATGAACACTGGGCAATGTATGTATGCATCTGCTATATATCTACATAGATATCTACTATCTGAGAAAGATTTGCTTTATAGAAAGACTATACCTCTGCAGAAAGCAGGTAATCCAGAGCCTCAGCTTTCATATTACTCAAAGCCTCGTTACTTGGAAGAAAGACTGTGTAAGGTCTGTTGTCCTGCTCTAAATCCATTCCCAGGCCAGTTTTCTGTTTTGGTTTAAAAATAAAAGTGAAATTACATATTAATATTGAAGAACATCTGAAAACAGCTTTATAGAATTGCTTTTCTGGATCCTTACCTCTATCAAAGATGTAAATTGGCTGTATCTTCCATTACCTTGAAGTATTGACATTATAGTTTCCTGAAATAAGATGAAAGTAAGATTTATCTTAGTTAAGAACATGGAATAAATACAAATCCTTATAAGACATTTCTTGAATTACTGTATGAGTCAGTTACTACAAATTGAATACATTTGGGTTTCCTTATTGTTTGAGTGGCTGCTGATGTCTGGAAATACCTGAGACGGTAAAATTCCGGTCTAACTCTTAAGAGTTTGTCGTTGTCCTTAAATACTGAGTAGTGACAGAACATACAAACAGCAATTGTATGGGGAAAGTGCTATTATCTCTTAATTCCCAATGAGAAAGGACAGAGAAATAAAATATTTGCAAGAGCACCGTATAAAGAGTGAATTCTCAAGGAAATACGCTAAGTAGGGCACCAAAAACCCCAAACCATCCAAAATTATCAGTTTTTCTAATATCAGCCTTTTGCAGGGAGGGGTTGCTGCTTTGAATACAAGTCTTGCCTGATACCTGGCCAGATGTCCCTCCTTTTAGTATGTACTGGAATTCAGTGAGATGCACAGACCGTGACTGCCAATTTCCCAAGGAACCACTCAAATGCAGCGAGTACAACCAAATCCCCCACGGACCAGCGTCGCAGAAGAGCGAATGTCTGTTTGCTGTGGAACTGTCATTACTTTTCACTTTGAATGTTGCTTCTCTGAGCACAATGGCTCAGTAGAGTTTGTCTAGCTGCTGTCAGTTGTCCTCATTTGTATTCAATGACTATGAAACTGTTGTAAAGAAAGTCTGACATTGCATGTATATAGCTTATGGCTCACCTCTTTGCTGCTTTCAAATGTTGGCTCCACATTGTCCATGGGTTTGTCAATAATGTGTAAAATCCCATTGGAAGCAATAATATTTCCCTGCAAAAGTTTTCCTTTCCTCCTTCCTCCTTGGATTCTAATTCTTAATTGATTATCCTGAAAGAAGCCCGGTAAGAGATAGTGAGCTCTTTATTATGGAATGACAACAGACTGAGTATGCATGTTGTATAAAGTCTAACACCCCCTTTCAGCACCAACACCTGGGCCGTTTAAATCTGGCGAAGGCTAAAGGTTGCTTTCAATGTTTATAAAGGAAATGGAAAAAAATATCTTTAACTGTGGATCAGGACTGTGTTATTCTGTTCCAGGATAGCAAAGTTCAGAAGAGAAACAGGGACAGGCCCTGTGGGGAGTGCAGTGTACCTAAAAGGGCTCTGATAACTGTTAGTAATAAAAGTCTGCCAGGAAATGATTTAAAATGTGATTGTACTGAAAGGGTCAGCTCCTGTAATCTTAAGGGACTACAACCCATTTCCTTATATTATATGTATATTTAAAACAACAAAATATTGCTGATTCTGCACTGTACTGAAGCCTGCAGGAAACTAACAGGCCTCAGACAGCAATGATATTTTCCCGTTACAAATGGAGTGCATACTTATCAAAGAAGTAAAATAGATCTCTTTTCTCAGGTGCCACTGATCTACTGCAAAACATGAGAAGTACTTGATTTCAGCCTTTGTGTAGGCCCAAGTCATTAAGAGACATTTAATGGACCAACAACAGTAATCCCAGATTATAAAATATAGTATATCAGCTGTAGAGAACAATATTTGTTAAACTGTGGCGTCAGATTGCCCTGATGCTTACTGACATCAAATAAACTGGGTGATTAACTTTACTCCGTATTATTAATGATAAATTGCCAAGCGCATTTTATTTATGCCAAAGACTTCTATTTGCTGCATCATTCAATGGATGCTAATGACCAGCGGGAGGTGGGATCTGCAGTGCAGTCAGTGCTTGCTCTGTATGTGCAGTATACACAGATTTCCATCATAAACTCTTGGCTTTTCCCTCCCCATGCCCCCTCATACTTCACCTAGGCTCTTTTAATGCCCTCCCCCCAACTCTGTTTGTTTTGCCTGCAGATTTAATATGACTTAATTTTAGCAAATATTTTTAGAGTGGTCTGTGTTAGATTGCTGTGTCGCGCAGCAGTGATGCATCTCTGAAGGTAATTTTTATTTTCACTGATTTTAGTGCGAACTTTGATGCTGATGAGGTTTCAAGTTTCACTTGAACCCCCTGTAATGCGTGGCCACAGCTGCGGTTTTTCATAATCCAGCAGCTATCTGCAACCTGATGTCTTGCTGAAAAGACCTTTCATACTCCTGTTGAGTGAATAGAGAGTAGTAGTATTGCTGAGGTAGGCTGGAAGGCCACTTACCTTTTCTCCCTTTGATATTTCTCCTGTCTTGCCAGTCAAAGTATATATTACATTAGTATTAGTCAAGCTACTGGTATTCAACTGACCAGCAATTATATGGAGTTTCACAAAGTACTGTGCTTTCTGTTTATTATTCAGAAGATCTTTTATCTAGAAGAACAGAGATTTATTTCAATACAGACCTAAAAAATAATCTCACTGTGAATGCTTTTTTCCTCTAGCTGTTACATTCTGAAATGATACGTTTTCTTCTGGAGTGAGGTGAGAGGGTCTGAACCAAATAGAGGCCTCTCTTGGTTGCAGTTCAGGTCAGATTACACCCTTATGTCGCTGGGTGAGCACTGGGTGCCTCCAGAGTTGTCCTGGCTTCAGGGGAAGGTACTGGATGCTGACCACTTGCCCACTTGCATATCAGGCCACTTTTTTTGCCTGTTTTTTTTTTTTTTTTTTTTTTTTTAAGTGAAAACCATTGGGTTTTTGTATCACCCTTGCATAAAATGTGACCCGTAGGTCTCGCTTCTGAAAATTCAGATCTTAATTCAGACCCTGTCTCAACCAAGAGGAAAAAACCTTGAGCATAGCCATGTAAGACAATCCAAAACTTACTTGAAGCATGACTGCATTCTACCCTGACTTGCCAAATAGTTTTTTCTTTCAAGTAGGAAAAAGACAATCTCTAGCCCCAAGATTTAAATGTACCCAGAAGTGTACTAGACTAAAAAGTTCTTCTCAATCTGTTGCATCAAAATGCTTTTAATGCAGATGAGATTTCTGAAGAAGCTAAATTCCCCACCCCCCCCCCCCCCCAGTGTAAAACCATCTCCATTGTTTACTTACATTTGTACCTTTGAACCCCTTGTTTGTCGGTACAAGGGCGGTAAATGGTCCCAGAGTACTCAGTGGCCATTCATAGACATTTTCTTAAAAGGAGAGAGGAAAAAAAAAATAAACTAAATGTATATTGAAAAGCTTATTGGAGGAAGGGATTGTGTAATCTGTACCAGGTACATAAGGGCAGAATAAGAACAAACACTCTCTGTGATTATTAAATTTTAATTTAAGAGTCTAAAATCGAAGTTGTTGAAAGATGAGAGGCAGATGGGCTGTGAAATCCAGGTGCTGTTGCATGTTTGACACAGGATGAGGCCAAAGATTCTGGCACCTCGGGTTCTGCGGCATGCAGACCAGTGTGATGGGCATGAAAACAGCATTTCTTTGGAGATGCGTCTTTATGGGAAGACGGTCCCCTGTTTTAAATCAATTCAGTCTTCATGGGTTGAGGGATATGCTGCTGATAACCCGCTGGTAGTGTAAGTATCAGCAAACACATAGCTGGTAATGAAAGCTGATGCACTGAAAGTTAAAGTTCATTTGCTACCCAGACGGTAGTTCTGTTTCCAAGACAGCAGTATGAGACCACTGATCCTGTAGCTGGAGGTATGAAATATTTCTAATATTCAGTTCTTTTTCCAGAGTTTTAAAATCAGAACTAAAACTATCTTTACAGTTTTTATAGATGTGTCATATCAGAGAATATACCTCAAAAATAATATGCTGTCTTACAAAATAATGTGGATGCTTCTGCTGTGTATTCTTAGTTTTTAAAAGACGTTAATGTGGAGTGAATGTATTGTAAAATAACCTGTGCAGTTAATGTATCTTAGTAGCTTCTGGCTAGTAAATCAAATGGCACATTTATGTTCAAAACTTAACCAAAGAACATAAAATCTGGGTTGCTGTTAACAAATGGTGGTGCCCAGCGTGTCAGCCCCTTTTCAGACACATAAGGAGAAACACATAGAGAAACTGCAACTGAGCTCTCAGTGCTGAGGCAATGCATTTCGGTCTTCAGTGCTGAATGTGAAGATCACTGCCAGGCTTTGTCCCTGGCCAGCTGTGGGGGATTTTTATTCCATTCTGGTCAGGAATTCAGGATCTTTATTTTAATTGCTGGGCTCAGTGAAAAGGACCAAGCAAATTATATTAAACAGGAGGAAATTCTTCATATTTACAAATTGAACTTGAAGAACCAGCTTGATTCTAGCAGTGTTTGTTCCTAGCTCACACTTGTGACCATGCAACAAAAGATGATGAAGACAGTTAAGCTGTTGTCTTCATGAAGTATTTGCGATAACTATGAAAGGATGGAAGCTGTGATCCCTGATTGGGTCTCCACCTCACCTCTGCAGACAATTTGGAAACCTGGAGACCCCCCCCAACTGGGGCCGAGGTATTCTGGTGGGAGGTCCTCAGAGTGAGGGAGACCACGGATGGGATCAGTCTCTTCCCCTTGCCTCTATTCTCTTTCCTGGTGAAAGCAATGCCACTGCTGTTGGCTGCAGAGTGGGGAACAGGGACCTAGCTGGGAATCCTGATGGTTTTGGTGGACTTCTGTGCATCTTTCTAGATCAAATCTCAATTATGCAAATCGATGGGGGCAGGGAGGGAGAGGAAGTGGGATGATCCTACTTACTGTACTATGGGGCAAACCCCACTGATGATACCAAATTATGTGTTGAGGGGTTGTGAGAATGCATTTAGCATTTCTGCTTGGAAATTCTTGCAGATTGTATGGCACGGTGAGCAAAGGCAGTTTTAGGTGGTAAGAGGGAGTCTGCGGTGAGTAGTATGTGTACTGTATCGTGGCGTTAGCAACATCTTCCTGTAGCGGAGAGCATTGATAGAAGGCAGGGCAAGATCAACCAATCCCAGCAGGAGCTGACTGCTTGCGTGTGGTTACTTACCCATAAGTGATAAGGCAGATGTCAGCTTGCCTTGCCACCGTCCTCCCACTTCGGCATTCAGGTCTCGGAGGCGTTCCATGATGTTTCCATAGCACACAAACCCATTTCCCACGGAGCCTCCTTGACATGTACACCTGGGAAGGGATTGTCATTTTAGCTGTGGGCTGGTGTCTTGTGGTGCCTGGAGGCATTTTCAGGAAGCACCAGTGCATTTTAGTTTAACCATTGCTTCTGTATGCTGTCAAGTAGGTCTGGGAAGCCTGGTGGCTGCTTGCCTGACATGAAGTCCTTCTGTCAGCTGGGCCAGGAGGCAGCAGTGTCTGTCTTGCAGGGCCTCTTTGAATGGGGGCTACTTGACAACCCTGGCTGTGATGCAGCCACTGGTCCCCAAATGTTGTGGTTGCTAGAGTCCAGAAAGCCACTGAATCTGACTGCCTGTGGGCAAGTAGAGGCTACAGCATAAATGTGTGGGGTGCCATCCTTGCAGTGAGGAGGCAGTTGTGTGAAGCCCCCACTTACTACGTGGGACTCGGCAGGATTAATAGTATTTATGTATGAAGGGGGTGATGGCAGCTCATCAGTCCTTGTTATAGCTATACAGGACTCATAGAAAAAGGCAGGCAGGGGTGTCAGTCCTTCCAAAAAGCAAAGTGGTTGTTTGTTACCCTGCTCTTTAAGTAGTGCAACCATTTTGGGCAATGGTATTTGTACTTTAATATTATCTTTCTTTTTTTCTGAAGCATGAAATCTCATGCTTTTTCAGACGTATGCTTTGTGCTGTTACTGTTTCTGCCCTGGAAATAACATCTCACCTGTAACTCCTTGGCTGTTCTCTGGGGACTCCAGCCTGTGAGAGGTGTCAGTGATGTATGGTTGGCCTAGCCTTACCTATGTCTAAAGCAGTCGGGTTGCAGTGTCCATGAGAGGGACAGGCAATGCCTTGAGATGGGCTCAATGTCCTCACTGCCTTAGGATGGCTGCATTTGAAGTGGTGTGTTGCAGTTAAGGCAACATCTAAAGGAGATTTATGGAAGAGCCACCACAAGTGTCAGTCTGATATTTTCTGTCTTATGAGAGGGGAAACGGCCCTCGTGACAATGGAACTTTATTGTCTCATAAAGACCTCAGAGTCATGAGAAAGGTGGGGAAGAAATTGTTGGATGTCGGTGTGATTCACACATGCTATTAGGTGCTGATGGGTATAAATGGTTGCATGTTTCAAAGAGAAATTAGGACTTGTGTGTGCCTTGACCTTGTGTGAGCCTGACTGTTCACTGGGGGAGGTGGTTAGTACTTTCTAAAACATCTGGACTCTTCAAGGCCGCCTCAACCTGAGGGGCCATTGATGCCTGCTGGTCTTGCCAATCTCAGCTCTTTATGTTGCAGTCTTCAGAAAATCAGCCTCTGCTTGGCTGTGCTTGGGGGACTGGCTGGTGGTGTCAGCTCAGTGATTTACTCATCTTTAGTTCTAAAATTAAAGCAGGTGCTTGTCAACATGTAGGGCGCAGAGAAAGAAACTCTAACTCTATTTAGGAGGCTAAACAACTATGTGGTACGTGTTGCCAAACACTGGCTTTTAATAGTGCCTTTCCTAATTAAGTCTCCGGCATGTTCAGTATTTGTATAAGCCCTATCCATAATGATTCATCTCTCTGGATAGTTTTTCTAAAGGCATCGTTAGAGAAGGAATATTACTCCACGCGAGCAAAAGATGTTCTTTATATAACTAATGACCTAATTGTTTGTACGTGCTCGCTGTTACAAACACACATCTGCCACTCACACCCCACAGTAGTATCAACCTGATGCCAAATCATGTCCTGTTTCCCATGTACGGTCTCTACCACAGCATTTCTCTGGTAATAGCAATAGTTGAACATCCCCACAATCCCTGCAATCTGGGGTGGGCTGCATATAGACTCTGAGGGGTGCTGGTATTTTGGCCCAGAGGCTCAAGCTTTGATTCCTTCTGGTCTTGGGTAAAAATAGCGGTCTAAAAGCATCTTAAATTTTTAGGATGCAATTCTGATGGTGAGCCATCTTCTTTTTAAGAGGATCTCTTGAACAGAAGGTGTGATTGTGGAGCCCAGATGAAGGGTTTAGGGCTGGGAGAGAGGAGCAGCTCCTCCTTGGGAGCTGACCACTTTCTTCTGATGGGGTAAATACTGCTCTATTGATATACACAGTCCCCTTCACTTCTAAGCAGAGAAGAAAAAAATGAGGCTTCAAAGGAGCCAAGGAATAGTTTAGTTGAAAAAAGAAACTAACCTTGAAATATTGCAAAAATCAGATCAAAGTTTCCAAATAAACCTCTCCTCTATTTTTCAGCAAATAGTCATAAAGAAGCAGGTGGTTAAACATAGTAAGTTTTTTGGCTATCATTTCCAGGGGTACAAAAGTTTGAACAGTTTGAAATTTCTTTTCTGAGGATAGTATTCATTATAAACTGAGTGGGCGTCCAGTAATGCAGTTTGGATTTGACTGCCAAAGGAAAGCATTTGGCAATTATCGATTAGCAGCTATTGAATGGGATTTGAACCCTTCAACCTCTCTATCCCCTAGCCCTTCTGATGGAGTAATTTACTCTGTGTGGCTGGGCTTGGGAAGGACCAACTGGGTGATAGACTAGATCAGTTTTGTCTTAGCTTTGTCTGGAGGATCTGGTTTGCAACTTGTACTGCATATGGCTTTATAGGTTTTGCTTTGAATGCACTGAATACTGTATGGGCTGGGTGCCTCTAAAGAGGAACAGCAGCTTTACAACAAACCTATTTGTTGTAAACGTATGGGCTGGGTGCCTCTAAAGAGGAACAGCTTTACAACAAACCCTGCTGGACTATTTAAACTCGGTTGTTTGATGTTTTCATGATATGCTGCATGGACAGCATAGGCAGGACTGAAAAAGGTGGGAACTGTCACTTCTTCAGCTTACTCAGGAAAGGGAAGAGAATTGTATTTCTCTGGAAAAGGGGAGCTCAGCTTTCTGTCTCCATTTTACCTGAAACTTGTATGGAGGAGTTTTGTTTTTTGAAGTTGTTAATTTCTACATTGAAGACACAGTCAGTAAAAATAAGATGGGGATTAAAAAAGAAAATAATTGAGTTTAGCTGCTTAAAAGCCAGTTCTGCTTGGAAACTGGAGAGGTTATGGTCTAATACATAGTGTAATTCTGCACCAGTTGAAGCTTCATAGCTTCTGGGCAAGGCTGAACGTAATTACTGTGCTGAAGCAATGCCATGGAAAGTGTCAGCACCCACTCAGGAAAGATCTATATGGGAACAGAAAACAGAGACAATCTTGATTTTCCAGGAGGTTGCTGTGTTATGTTCACAAATGAAATATTTGTCTTTTCTACATTTTTGTCTGTAGGAGAGATTTATTCCTGTAAAATATAATTTGATTCTGGAGAAAGTAGAAGTTACTATATGGGGGAAGCTAACAGCACAACTGTGTCTTCAATAAAAATAAAACCAAAAACAAAAGAGAGGAAGCAAAGAAATTCTGTGGCCTCTGTTACAGCTTTGTGTTTTAGAAGTAAAAAAATGTACCAAAACAAGCCCTTCTAAATACACTTAAAATCTGGGATGAAGCCAAAATACAGTAAGCGTCTGTCATTTATCAGAAACAATTTACTGTGCCCACGTTTACCAATCAATGCTTTTTTTTTTTCCGAAGTACCTCTTTCATAAAAGGATTTTCCTTGTGTATTCAGTATAGTTTCTTTATTTGCCAAATAGATAATTTTATATTTGATTTGAATCCCACCCCTTTCTTCTGTATTTGTTTTTGCCGTTAAAAGTCATTGAATGAATGATGTGCAAAGCATTTGGATTGTTTGTTTCCCTCCCCAGTAATAAATTTTTAATTTTCCAGTTCTGAAATTCTCAAAACTTCCTCAGCTGTTGAAAATTCAGTTATAACAGTGAAACAGTGACAAATTAGGAAGGAAAGGTGTCAATTTATGTGATGTGGGATTTTATTTTAAATTTTCAACTCATGTTGTGCAGTATAGTGGTATACTATACTAAGTATGGTATAGGTATATACTAAGTGCAGTTTGAGTAGTATACTATGCTCTAGAAATGAACTGGGGATTATTCTAGATAAACTTGTTTGAAATGCACAATAGCTGACATAAAACCTATGTTGATACTACACTGTAAGTGAAAGTTGCATGGTGAAGCAAGAATCGGCAATAAGAATACTCTCCTGAGTGAATGCTTTCTGTTGATAGATCTATAGGTAAATAACTTGTTCCCAAGTTACAACTAATAGCCTGTCTTGCCTTTCACATTCAAACTCTCAGCTCCTGAAAACTAACATTTCAGGGACATCTCTTTACACCCAACACTAGCCATCCCTTGCCTATAAAAGCATGTAATCCAAATTCTTTGGTTTAAGATAACTTTGTTAAGTTTAACATTGAAACTGACTTTCCTCCTAACATCTGTGTAACAAATTTCTGTACAGGAAAACAAACTCTGACAGAGGTTTTGCAGTTTCTCACATGCTTGTCTCAAGACTTCAAGGAATCTGCTGAGGTTGGTGTTGCTTTTACAGCGTGGGGGTCAGATTCCCTAATATTAGTATACTAAAAGAGCCAGGGCTCCAGCATCGTAAGTAACACTGACTAATTTTTAGCATACTGCCTGGCAAGTTTCTGGCCCACACCAAGTAGTATTTTCCCAGGCAGTGCCCAGGCACAGTTGAAGGGATAATGTGTGCCAAGGACTGCTGCCAAGAGGCAGTTACTCTTTTGGAAGAAGAAGAAACTTTAGCTGTGAGACAGATGATGCTGCTTGCCCTGAGGAACAGAAAAGAGTTCTTGGTCCTTTTTATTTACTAGTGTAGAAATGACCTCTGAGTGCTATAAAAATAAAACTTAGTAGGTATTAGCAATTGTTCTGATGAAACTGAACGCTATGCTAACTGCCTGACCCTAACCCCATTAAATCTTGTGATTTGTCCTTGATAAAGAAACCATTAAAGATAACTTCAGGAGGTGTTCATCCACTGGATATGTTTTAGCAGCTGGTTTACTAGGGGGAGGAGGGAGAAACTGCGTGAAAGCTTTAATAAGGAAAAAGACTCACATAATCTGTCCAGGTGCAACCATTGAGCATTTAGCTTTTTTATGGCAGGTGTTGTTTGTTTCACAGATGTCTGTCATGCTGCATCCTTTCCCAGGTACAAAGTTTGTGTAATGCTCCTTGCATTCACAGTGGGACTAAATCAGAAGGATGGGAGAAGGTAGAGAAAAATTAGACATGCACAAATTGTGGATTTCAGCATACTTCTGGAACTAGGGTTTAAAGACAGTGAGGCTTAGTTAATCATATGGTGAATTTAGATGCAAGTATAAAGCTTATCCATATTTACACAGCTGTCTTCTAGGTTATATCTACTACTGACTCTCAGATAAATTTCCTTCAGATAAAGCCCTATAGGTTAACTTCTGTAACCAGAGTACCTTTAAAATCAGTGTGTATAAGTCAAATTTTTTTACCTCTGTTTCCACAGCCCTCTGCCTCCCAAAACAAGTGCCAAAGCATACTACTAATGAACGAGGTTGTACGCACCAGCCTGTGTGTGCCAGCCACATGCAGCTCACTGAGACACCCCTGAGAGGAGCAACTGAAATGACTGTGAACTGCCGGACAACCCAGGGTGACTGAGCCCCTTTCTGGCTCTTCAGGGTATTTGGGTGAAACAGGCATGGTCTTCTGAAGTCTTGCTTTCTTGATGGTGGGAGTTTTACACACAGAAATCTGAATCAGTTCCCAACACCGTGAATAACATGGAGCCTTTATACAGTGCCTTGCATTGGTTGTCTCAGAGACCCAGATTACTTCTTTCCTAAATACACTAACTTTAGGTGTGTATCTGTGGTAGATGTGTATCTGTGGTACGTGTGTAAGGAGGCTACTGGCCCTATCAGCCCCCTGTGGTCAGATAGACAAAATTTTTCTTGGAGAAGATTAATTTCAGTGCCTCTGTTTTAGGGAGGCAAATCCGAACCAAAATATTACAGGAAAAAAGAACACTATTGCCATTCCAGTTTTCACAGGGGGAAACATGATATAGATACATTGAGAAGGGAGGTAAAAGGAGTCACTCCTGATCAACGGCAGGGCTTATGCCAAAGCTAGAAGTAGATCTTGGTCTCCCTTAGGCCTGTTCCTGTACCCTCATGGCTCTTTTTGGAAAGAAAGCATTATTTCATCTTAGGCAGTTGACATAGGAAATATCTGGGGCACTCATTCAACACTAACCTTTCCTGGACCGTCATATATGCAAAGGGTGGACTGTGCAGGGCAATTCCCGTATGTTGCTTGGCAAGGGTCTATGGGTAAGCAGACTTGACCATCCCCTCTGTAACCTTCTCGACACGTACATTTGTGCTGATTTGGTCCGAGGTAAATGCAGTTGGCATTAGGATCGCAGACTGTTTCAGAGCATGGGTTGATAGCTTACAAAAAAAGAAGTGAAGTAAATGAATTATTGCTCGTGTTTACCAAATTGAAGGCAAGAATTTGCCAGAGCACCTCCATGCCAAACAAAGCCCGTGTAGACTAAACTACTCATAACAGCCAAGTCTGAAGTACTGTGGCGGCATGAAGACAGAAGGGAGGAATGTGTTTATGCTAACGTAGCAACCAATTGTTTGCTTTTGAACAGAAATGATCTCTTAACTTGGCAAATTGAGTTATAAACAGATTAAAACATGTAATGTGCTCATTAAAATATCACAACTATTTCCTTGTTCTGTGGTGGATTTTAACTAGAGAAGGTCAGGTAGGTGATATGAGCTCTGTACAAGCTTTAAATGTGTGTTAGATCAGTTGGAAAATATTTCTCAATACAATAGGCCTTCGCTGTTTTCTTTCCTGTAATTAAACAATATAATGTCATCTGTTCAACTACACAGAAAACTGGTCGACAATACTTTAGCTGAGTCTTTCACGCTGCTGTAGTTTCAGGACTGGAAGCTCCCTAGTTATTTCTATAAGCCATTTTTTTTGAGGCAACCGCATTGTATGTTTTTGTTCAAAATCCAGCAGTGCTTGAAGACCATCATCTCACACCTTTGTGTCTAGCTTAGGGTATGGTCAAGCACACATTTTAGCTAGAAGGTGACAGGCCCCAGACACCTAAAAAGATGGTGCTGCTCACTGTCTTCCCCTCTCCTTCTCCCTTTCTTCCCCCTCAGCTGTGACTGAGAGAGCTGGCAAATGCTCAGCTTCATTCTTTCAAGCTTTCTCTTCTGTTCTGGTATGAAACCATGCACACACGTGCATTCATGTGCTCAAATTGACCATAAGCAATGTTACCTCCAAGCTGACTCTGGGGCAGCAACTGCTATCCTCACGTACTTAGCTGCCCTGGAGCTGCTTGTCCTCTGCTTCTCAGCCAGTCCAATATAAAACACACTGGCTTAAGCCACAGGTGACCACATTATCTAAAGACACTGGGACAGAGTATCAGCATCCATGCAGGCTGCATCAATTCAAACCCCAAAAGAGGTAGGGATACTATCATCCTCCTGCTTTGCTGGTTGCTGCAATTTCTTTGTGTCTTGCTCATCCATGCTGCTTACTAGAAGAACCTCACATTCCCTGAGGAATGACTTTCTGATGTCTTGGATGGTGTTCAGGCCCATTCAGTGAGGCTGACACCATAGTTAGGACCATGAGGATTGAATGTAAATATTCCCAGACAGGATAAGAAGTATTGTATTTGTGGCCTGATCCAAGCCAACATTTATTAAATAGTGCTTCCAGCATCAGACACAACCATTTTCTTCACTGCAGTTGGTCTATAAGGAAGAGCTGGTGCTGTAGGCATAATTTAAGTAAAGAAAAGAAAGTCTGGACTCTTGTAGTACACTTAATTTGAACATTCAATGGCAAGTTGAGAAGTCTTCATGGAAAATAGGAAAGTTAAAATGAGCTTTACTTGTCTGTGGAGTTTATGCTTAGCAGTGAAGCTGAGCTGCCACATGATGGATATTCAATAAATATAAGCCCTTGGTAGCAGCTGTTGATTAGAAACTATGGGGTTAAACTTTAGGAAGTAGAAGGACGTGATAGGAGTGGATTTGTAAGCACTGATGACCCAGTATCCACACTATGTATTTCAAGGGGTTTTACTAGCTTTAGTCTGGTCATATGGACTGAAGCTTGTTAGCAATTTGACTGATGTGCTTCCGAAGAACTTTTTAGGGTTTAGTTTCATCCTGAAGGAATCTAGTTTGTGCACACGAGACTGCTTTGGGATATGAACCCGAGAATGATTAGATGGTGAGATTTTGTTCAAAAGTGCACTCAATATCTGAACTATAATACTAATGATGTTGTATACAAAGAACTCGGTGGACATGAAAATTACTCACGTTCACATTGTGTACCATCGCCATGGTAGTTGGGCAGACACGTGCATTGCAGTTGTCTTCCATCCTCGCCTGAGGTAGTACATCTGGAGTTTGCAGGGCACTGCAAGTCCTCGCATTCAGCTATTGCTGAGACACAGAGGGTAACAGGTTAAGCTGCATCTGCATACTGTGCTGGGAGGCATTGTGACCTGCGATATACTAGTTCAAAGTATTCCTGACATAGGGACCATCAATCCCATTGCTACCATCATTTTTCCAGCGACTGAAGTGGTGATGATGGTTATGAGAGCTCACACACAGTGTTTGAGGTTTGGTGTATGTTTAGTTGCTCTAGTGTGACTGACCTGAGACTAATTTTACATTTGCCCTTTCCAACTCTAACTGTATCAGAGCTCTTGAATATATCTTACACAGAAAACATCTACTTACGCTGATCACAGCTGAGCCCTTTGTATCCAGACAAGCAAGTGCATCTTCCATCCCCTGTAATTCCACTGTTGCATATTCCATGAACGCAGTCACAAACTATATGGAGAGATGAGTTGGCTTTACTGAATAATAATGGTGTGCAGAAAGACATTGCTAGTGGTTACAGGCAGCAAATAGTATCCTGGCCAACAGCTTGGGCCAAACCAAGCTTTAACCTGAGTTCCTGAATTTACAGGCTTCCTTTGACAAGAAGATCAATACCCTCAGTTGCATATGTCAGTAAATAACATACTGATTTTTGCAAGCTATTAATAGCCTGGGACCTGAAAATCTTCAGGACAAGAATTATAAACTGACTGGTTGCTAATACCATAAAATCTTGTAAAATTTGATATACAGTCTTGAGCCAAAATGGAATATAATGTGTAACAGAGACCATTCTTATAACTGTTAACAAATTGCTCATTTTTGCTTCAATTCTGTTTGTCTCGCTCAAACACCTCCAGAAGAGACGAATTTTGCGACCTTTTTTTTCCCTAAACAGAATTTATTTAGTTAAAAAAATGATTAATCACTGTGCAGGTCTCAGGCTTTTTTCTGGTCCTGTTCCTATATTCTGTCACTTCTGCTTATAAACCTTGTCACAATATATATCCAAGATGCTGTATTCAGAGTCGAGGCGACTATGAGACCCTTTTATGAGTGGTTTTTGAAGCCTTAAGCATACTTAAAAAGCTTTATAGTTATAAATGTTTCGGTTATGGTAATGATGTTTTTTAAAAAGGACCTTTATAGTTACACTTGGAAATGCCTTTAAGATGTACAGAATTGTATTTGTGACTTCAGGTTTAAGCTGCAGTGATGTAGCGTATCCTCTTCCTTGTGTTCATGCACATCACCTACACTAATTAATTACTAACATTCTGCCTATGTTAGTAGTCCTAATATAAAAACCAGGAATGTCTAACATACTGCTGAAAAGCAGTTAGTCACAAATGCACAGTATTTATAGATGCTTAGAAAACTTGGAGGAGCTCAAATATCTGAAAGCTGAAGTGCAAAATGATGCTTTAATTAATATTAAATTAATATATTATAATAAAATTAACAATATCAGTTGAGTCCTCTGGTAGCTTCTTGGAAAATAATTGCATTTACAATATTGAATTCACTCAAGTACCCTGTTTTCATGAAAATGTTGGCTCAGTTACATTTCTGTGTATCAACACTGGCATCCAGTGGACAGCTGATGGAAAAAGGGCCTTTGAGTCAGCAGTCGTGTAGAATTAGTGCAGAAAGGTCAACACAGGTTATTTAAATTAAGGCCATTTGTAACTCTCTTTAGAAGTAACTTTATGTAGATCTTGAGGGAACAAAAAGAGTTTTACTTAGAGATAAACAACTATTATCACTTAAGAAAGAGACATTTCTTAATGTTATTTTTCAGGCAGTATTCTGGTTTTTTTGGTTTAATTTCAGCAGGGATTAGGAAGGTGAGTAACATACTAGAAATCCTTAAGAAACAGGAAAAACTGGAAAGTATCACACAAATATATACACTTGTGATATATATACGTTTTCAATAGTGCACGTAGCTCTGATCCCTCCCTCAATGACCCGCTTCTCCTAATAGAATTATGGCAAATCAATGAAATAATTTACCAGCCAAAGACTTTTTTCCACACTTTTGACTGAATTATGGAGCTCTGTGACACAGAATACTGGACTCACAGACAAAGTAGATAATTTATGGAGGATGGATCCCGGAGGAGCCTTTAAACACTACAATTTGAATGCAATCTCTGGTTGCTTCAATTCTTTCCCTTTTAGATATCAACTATTGGCTTCCACTGTGTGATGCTAGGTTAGAAGGACCTTTGGCCTGACTCAAAATGGCCTTTTTTAAGACTTAAATACCACTTGAATATTTCATGCCTTAATACAGATGGTCCTTATTATTTGCTACTTAATACAGTTTGTAGATGTATTTATAAACCATACCAAAACACTGTAAGCCACTACAAATTATGCATTTGATACGTTCCCACCCAGTATTTTAAGTATCATAACAATCTCCCATATTCAGGTCAAATAAATGCAAATCCATAATCTAAGGTGAAAAGCGGATAACTTGATAACTGGCTAACAGGGAGGCATACCTGCAGGAACACACAGATGATCCTGATTCCTAATTTATTTGACTGTTGGCTATAACAAAGATATTTAAGACAAGACCAAAGATATTTTTGTAGCACTGCACTGAGAGTGTTTTCTGTACAGTTCTGAGTTGAATCCAGCTCCAATGCGAAAGAAGAACTAAGTAGCTGCCTATCTTCTTTCCCTGTTGTGTTCCCTGAAGCAGACAGCAGCTCTTGATGGGAAGCCCTTAGACACTCTACCCATTTCACTGTGATTACTTAGTGTCTGAATACAGCTTTCATTCACCTTCTTTTCCCCATTTCAGTAGAGAGCTCAAACTTACCTGATGTGCAGTGAGGACCAAATAAATTATCTTCAGCACATTTTTCACAGGCTGTCCCACCAAACCCTTTCTGTGAATTACAGAATGGAAATCAAAACTTAAGTTTCTCATCTGTCTCTATACAGATAGATATATGCTTAGCAGCCTGAAAACAGCATCTTTAGCTGCCAAAAGAAAATAACACGAAAGGTTCAATCAGCAAATCAGAAATGACTACTGCAATCTAGAAATCATTGTCTTTTGAATGATTTTTCCCCCCCTCTCTGCCTTTTTTAGAAATAGTTTTTAAATCTTACACTTCGAATCAGATGTTCTGAATATCAAGTTAACAATAAAGAACAGTAATCAAGCCTAAGGCCCAAATCATTCTTACAATTGTTAGGTTGTATTTTTTGACTAATTCTCACCCTGTCTCTTTTTACACGTTCCCAGCTGTGCTTTTGATGTAATGGAAAGATTAACCAGTAGAGGGGGAGGTAGAAAGATTAATGTATGGTTTGAGGAGGTTTTTTAATCTTTTTGGATGAAGTTACTAAGCACTGCATGTCGCACTCTCAGCAGAGGAACACTGTATTGAGAGTATGGTCCCAAGTATAAGTACTTTCTAATTAGGGCAAAAAGTCGTAAGTAACAGCACACTTTAAAAACCGGAGGAACTCAAACCACTTGTTTCAGGAAGGCAAGATGGAAAATCTTTTAAACAATTTCACCCAAACATGCTCAAGTCTGTAGAAATAGTGTGAAGATTAGTGCAACCCAAGCTAGAAATGAACTCCAAGCGGATCAACTCTGCTGTTTCTGAAATACTTTCTTTTAATGTCTGCATACAATGGAATGTGCATTTTTTTCTTAGCAGAGCTTACATGCTATTGTTATATTTTTTTTGTATAAGAGAAAGGACGTACCTGACAAGTGCATGTTCCATCCCCATTTATACCCTGGGAGCAGCGTCCTCTCCTATTGCATGGTGTCGCAGCTCCTCCTGGACACGCTAGAAATGACAATATTTAAGCCATCAGTCAGCTCGCTCTGACCCTTATGCTCCCCTTGCACATTAGAGGTGACAACCTCAGAGGCTGCAGGGTTTGGGGCCAAACAGGGAACTTGAGTAATGGCTGCTGTTTTGCAGCTGCCTGAATCTCTTGGCTAGAATCTCAGCTTCAGCAGAAACCATCACCCTCTCTAGTCTGGGAACTTAAGCTAGTGGCTTGCACAAAAGCATTGCACAAAAATAGTTTTCTTACTCTAAAGTACCCTATTGATTTTTTCCCCTGCTGATCCACCTTTGTTTGCGGACACTCTAAACTGGTAGGTTTTTTGGTAGAGGTGGAGTTTGCCTGACCACTTCTTGCATATGGTAATAGAACTCTGAATGGTTGAAAATTTGCTGTCAGAATTGCATTTGATGCTAAGTTAGGGTTTAAATAAGCTTTTTTCGTTTCCCCACAAATTGCATTTGGTTTATGTGGAAAGTTTTTCCTTTTCCTCCCATAAGACTGTGATATTTGACTCAAATGATCTTGGAAATTTAAATTTGGGTATCTCGTAGCACATTTCTGTCCAATGGGCTGTGGTCACTAGTAAAACTTGTGTGCCAAAATGTGCTATACTCTTCAGATCCTCTGGTGCTAAACCCCATGATTATAGGTGGTGGTACAGCAGGTGGGACAGAGTCTGACCAAAAACCCCAGCCAGCAGGAGAGGATAAGAAACAACAACTGCATTTCCAAATCAAACTAGTTTAATTTTTGGATGAAACTTTTCAATATTAAAATTTTTACTGAAGGTTGCCTATAGGAAATGCATATTACAGTAATTTTTAGTCAGATTGTTCTGTCAGGTATTTTCCCCTGTAGAGATATCCTTATTTTTTATAGTTGTGCAGCCTCTCGGTGGAAATGATTTATTAACTCCCTTCCATAAGCCTTTCCTTCCCTAATTTGAGTTTCCATTAGGTACCATAATCATGATGCAGGTGGTATCTAAATGTATCAAACTCCTACTGCCCTCACAGGTTCTCTGTTGTACCTTACTTCTAGATTTATTGCTTGTAAAGAGTCTTTGTTCTGTGTGGGTGGAAATGGGCAGCACTGGATTTATGATCCCACTAAGCAACTTAATCCTGATTTAGAGTGTTTAAGTGATGCGGAAGTTTTCATGAAAACGAACTCGATTTGGACAGTGATGAGCAAATAAGTGGATGTGTATACGCATACACCTAATTTTAGTGATGACTTTGGCTTTATACCAGTCTGTTACTACTTCTTAATTTATTCCTTGATGATGAATCTGTGAGGTCTGTTGGATCTGAGCAAGCTTCTTGTGAAAAACCAATAAATTTAAAGGTGAAAATTTCAGTGCAGTTATTCTTATATGTGCTTAAATAAAAAGATTATTAAGAATTGAGATGAAATAACCAGAAATGAGGCAAAGTAATAAATACATATACTTTAATCTTTAAAGTCGCTTTTAGCGAATCTTGTTGTCTGGCTACCATGCGATAGCTAAATCTCATCTTTAGGACTGACATGGATGCAAACTGTTTAATGTTTGCCCTGAATGGAAACAATTTTACCTGCACTGATGCTTTTAATGAATGTGCAAACACAGAGAAAACAACTCTGATTTTAAGGTATAATTTCTAGGAAAGGATACCTTGAGATTGCTGGCAGGAGAGTATTTTTGTAGTTGCCATTCATTACACTTCTGCTTGTCTTCACTACCTTTTGTCTCTTGTTTTGATACCACCACCAAGGCACAGCTTTATCAGAAGTTTACCAAATCACCGTATTGTTGTAGGAGTTTGGTCAGACAGATAAAGCGCTTCCCCCCGGCTGGCAGGGCTGCAAGAGGCAGTGCTGGGACACTGGAGTGGTGCTGGCAGAGTCACCTGCTGCCACCCCAGTGCTGGGGAGAAGCAAGACCTTTGCTTTGTTGAAGACATTTTTTAAAAAGCAGTAAGAAAGAAATGCTTCTGCTTAGCTTTTACAGCTGTCAGAGTATGAAGGCTGAATCTTTATATCTAGGCCAAAAGAGCTTAAATCTATCAGCTTTTTTGCCTCATAGAGTTTAATTCAGCAGTTCCCAAGTGTTTTTAAATGCAGCCTCTTGGATTACTTCACTTGACTCCTTGGAGGCTGAAGCAGTGGGTAGAACTTGTAAAGAAGATGCGTTTTAGACATGTAATTTTACAGAATTAGGTTTAAAATCTTTCCTCTTGGCCTTTTTTCCCTTCCTTTTCATTTTTTTTCTTTGTTATTCTTATAGTCCTTTCTACTCAATTGCCCATACTGTGCACCTTTCCATTTGTACCCAGGCTTTTCTTTGGAGCCACGCAAATATTTGCCCAGAGCTGGGGTAGCGAGTAGCTCCCACTGAAGCCCATCAGTTACACACGTGGGACATCTGAGCTCCACCAGCTGTGGTATCTGTGGTCAGATGATACGGGCAGTGTTAAAAGTCTGTGCTGTTTTCCCCTGGACCTTTCCTTCCCCGTACTTTTCCCCTTCTCCTTGACACCTTTTCACAGAGGGATGGGTGTGCAGCTGGTTGATTTGGGCACTTTATGAGGAGGGAAGGGAACAAAACATCTTTCATTCACACTGTGTGTTTTAGCACGCGTTATCGTTTAAGGAAGCCAGAATGCTATCTAAGACCTAATTTTGTCATTGCCATCAGATGCTAAATGTGAAGTAAAGCCCTAGTCAGGGATTTTTCTCTGATCTCAGGAAAGACTGTCTTTCCTCCGAACATTTCAAGGAGTGACTTATGCTCTTAAAGAGACTGCGATAATGCAAAGAACTATTTTCTTCCTCCAAATGACAGCAGAAACAATGCTGAGACCTTGATTCTTTCCTTTTCTGGGCCAGGAAGTTTGTCCAAAGGAAGAGAAAGCTTCCCTGGCCCTGCAGCCTTCTGCTTGCAGTGGTACGGACAGAGCTCTGGCTCAGGGGCAGTGAGCTCTCCCACTCTCTAGAAACACTGATGCTCCTTGCGTGGCCTCCCAGAGCACCCACCCTAAAGTATGGAATGATGATCACACGTAGTGGTCCCTTCCTCCTACCAGGCACTTAGGCTGTGTTTGGTGGAAAGATGGTAACTCAGCACACAAGTGGTGATCTTCAGAAGAAGATATGATCACACGCTACATACTCAGCTATTTGCCTGTCTTTTCTATAGAAGTAGCTATAAGTTGGGATTTGACTGTTTTGCTTTAGTAGATAAATGACTGGTGTTTAAATCATATCTTCGGCTAAAATGATTTGTTTTTAATCTATTTTGTGGACAAAAGGACTTCACGGGCATTGAACCAGACCTTGACCCCATTAACTAAAGGAGGAAATGCTCTGGCTGGGCAGGGAAACTTCCTCTGTGGGTCTTGATGCCCACCTCAGTAGCCTGAGATTTGATGCACTTGTGGAGATGCTGAAAGGCTTTTCCTGAGGAAGAAGGCAGCGGGAGGAGAGGCATTCCTTTTTTTTTACCTCTGCTTTAGTAATGGCTTTTAGAATTCTCTGGTGGTTCAAAAAACTTGGGGGAAAAAGCTGTTTGAATTTGAGCTGAAAAAAAAGACCCTTCCTGCACCAAAAAGTAAAGAATTAAAGAGATTTGGAATATTTTGGACTCAGATAAGGGTATTTTTGACATGAAATGAAACATTTAAATTTGGGGTTTGAAAATTTTAATTTTTTTAAATCACTGTCGGAATCCTCCTAAATGAAAAGTCATTTTGCAGGCATTGACTAAAATGATTTGTTTTGAAATTCTCAAAACCAAGGGGGTTCCTTGAGTTTTTTGATTTTTTTTCTATGAATTTTTCTGTTTAAATGAAGTTTTGAATATGTGTTTTTCTCCAAATCTTGTAAGTTTTGGCTGAAAACTGCTGTTTATTTTTACCGCTATAATAAGCTCTGAGGAGCAAACTTCTCATGGCAATAGTTTCGGAAAAGAAGAAAAATCACTGCTTTACTTCTACTCAAATTCTGTCAAAAAAAAAAAAAAGCTTACCCATGCAGTCTGGGCCCCAGTGTCCCTGGCAACACTCAGGTTGTTCAAATTCCTTCATACAATGATGCCGACATCCAGGGAAAGAAAGTGTGTGTGTTTTAATTTCTAGATAATACCTAAGGAAAAGAAGTTGGAGCTGTTTTAAAGTACTTAAAAGCCTCCTGTGGGAAAAAATGAAATTCTTAACCTCCTCTTCTCTTTTCAGTGTCAGACAAGAGCACTTTAAGCTTAGTTGTGTTGATCTCCCTTTTTTTCTTCATTAAAACATACATTGCACATCAAGGTCTAAAAAGATCCTTGGAGCTGTTTCATTTGCACGGTTTGTTTATTTATTTTCATTTCTGCAACTGAAATACAGCAGTTTTCTCTAAGTTTTGATTTGAAATAGTGTTTTAAAAATTAGTTAATATCAACGTTCTTTAAATGCCAAGTAAGCTCAAAATAGTTACATTTTCCCTAAAATACTTTCCCTAAAATACTTATTTTTTCTTCAACCTAAAAGACAAGATTTCAAATTTATTTTGAGGTATTTCTTCCTGCCCTTCACCTCCTACACCTCCCCAGTCCGGCAGTTTGAAAAAATCTGTTATAATAATACAAGATATGAATAATATATAAATATCTTTTATATGATAATATACATTTATCATAAGGTATTTACATAACATTCATATCAAGCATGGAGAATAAACAAGGAAGTGATTTTGTGATATCACTCAAAAGAAAATCTGACAGGCCATCGATAGCAGTATTTATTTTCCTCTTATACCATTTGCTGATTAACATCAAGCTTGAAGTACTCTGAGTGCAGCTTGAGTTCTGGAGTTTGTGAAGCAAATTGTAAATGCTCCTTAAGAAGGTTGCAGAGAATAGAAAATTTGTAATATGAATTAACATTTTCTAATTTATGGAGAACATTATTCATGGTGAAAAGCTCTGACAGAAACAATACCTGCAGTCCGGTATCCCAGTCCCATTGGTAATCTTGGTGTAACCAGCAGGGCACTGGGTTTCAAGGTTTAACGAGCAAGGTACACATTCAGTTTTCATTCGAATGAGCAGCTTTTGATCACATTGCTTCTTCATCTGTAATAGAAGATTAAGTGAAAAGAAGCAAAAAGTGCTGAGTTGGTTTAACTCTGCCTCCAGTGGCATTGCTGAAAAATGACACGTTTAAGTCAGCTTCTCGCTCACGGCCGCAAGCTCTACCCTGTTCAGCAGCAGCTTCCTGCTTTGAAGCTAAACTAGGTAGTAGAACATGTATGAGGGCTTTGCAATAGTCTCGTCTGCACAAAATATGTCCAACCACTGCAGGATAAACCCTTCCAAGCATCATATTCCTCCTAAGAATATCAACAAGTGCTAAGTTCAGCAGACTTAAAAGCCAGGTTACTAAGACAGGATCAGCCCGTGGAGTGCTAGTGCTGAAGTTGCCTCACAAACTCAAAGCAGGATGGAAAAAGGCAAGTGCTGGCAAGTGCCTTCTCCATTCAATGGGAAAGCTAAACATGAGGTGTGGAGGAAGTTTCTCATGGCTCTGTGCACACAGAGCACAGCACAAGCCTTTCTTCCTCTCAAAAGTGGATTTTATATTATCAGTACCACTGAATTGAGCTAAAGGACTATGGTTGGTATTTTCAAATTGGAGTGAAAGAACGATGTCCGGCTCTGCATTCAAATCTGGTGGAAGTTATGGGCCTGACCCCAGCAGAGCACACTGAGAAGAACAGCCTTCTCTTTTTTTACTTGCAGAAAGCCACGGAAGGAACCAGCCCAGCTTGGGAAACCTGGCCATATTTTGGCTCAAATGCCAAGTGATTGTGCCCTTTACTGTGGGGGTCCCAGTTTCAAGAATGCAAATCTGACAAATAACTTGAAAAGGCGGTAGAAAGGAGAAAAGTCTTAGTACATTGTCACAGCAGTGATGTTGTAGACTGTGGTTATAGAAATCATAGATTTGAAAATAACCATATACTAAAACTAGCGTCTGTTTCCTACTATGGAAAGAGTCAACCTATTTTAAAGCAAAAAGTCTTTGCTGAACTCCATCTAATGTTGGCTTCATCTTCATTCTTCCTGGTGAGTATTTGTAGAAGTAAGTTCATAATTCACAAACGGTGAGAAACGATCTGATACAAAATATGTTCTTTAAAAACCAACAAAAAGTGATAAATGAAATCATCATTCTTAGAGAGGAAGTACTGTGAAGTGTTCCATTTTCTGTTCCAAGATAAACACTTATCCACTGTTCTTTAAGTATGGACCCATTTAAGTGATCTTAACTCACTCAGGCGATATTGACCATGAGAGACTTCCTATCTGGCACAATAGAATAGAAATTAACTCTCTGAATGGGATTTCAATTAAGCAGTTGAGTAGTTAATTAAGGCAATGTCTGAATCATTACCAGGCCAAAAACTGTACCTGCCCACTGTGTGTGTGTATGCGTGTGTATATGTATGTAGGTGTCAGTTTCAGCAGCATCCTCCATTTGAAAATATTTATATATATATTAATAGTTGTCTGTGGTTGTTATAAGTAGTTTCCTAGATTGTAAAGCCAGGAGGACAATTATACCATCATGATTGTAATGGGTTTGCATGGCAAGGTTTTGGTAGCAGGGGGTTACAGGGGTGGCTTCTGTGAGAAGCTGCTAGAAGTTTCCCCTATATCTGATACAGCCAATGCCAGCTGGCTTTAAGACAGACCCACCACTGGCCAAGGCCGAGCCAATCAGCGACGGTGGTAGCGCCTCTGGGATAACGTGTTTGAGAAAGGGAAAAAGTTGTTGCGGAGCAGCAATTGCAGCGAGAGAGAGGAGTGAGAACATGCAAGAGGAACATTTTCTGCAGACACCAAGGTCAGTGAAAAACAAGGGGAGGAGATGCTCCAGGCACCAGAGCAGCGATTCCCCTGCAGCCTGTGGTGAAGACCATGGTGAGGCAGGCTGTCCCCCTGCAGCCCATGGGCGGTGGAGGAGATGACTGCCTATACCCCATGGAGGACCCCACGTGAGACTGGAAGGATGTCTGAAGGAAGCTGTGACCCCGTGGGAAGCCTGCATCAGAGCAGGTTCCTGGCAGAACCTGTGGCCTGTGGAGAGAGAGAAGCCCAACTGGAGCAGGTTTGCTACTAGTGACCCCAT